TTCAAACACGTAATTCAGCGACAGAAATTCCAGAGAGGACTCCTTGCAAGATAGAAAGTGTTAATTACAATCCAAATCAAAACAAATCAGTAAGATCACTCAAATTAAGCACAACCCGAGGTAGCCATTTTTTCTTTTACTCCTGCAAATCAATATCGGATAAGGTTTTTTTCCTACAAACTAATCTCTAATTTATATATACATAGAATTAATAAGTTGCAATGACACTTGTGGCTTCAACGTTAGCAATGAGCAAATAACCTCTTCTAGTTAGAAGAAGGGAGAAGAATGTAACAGAATTGATTATTGAATTTAAGAATTTTTACAATTCGATTCAATCACAGTGCTCCATCAGGAAATTTCTGAGGTTTGTGATTTCAGGCAGTTGTATCTTTGGCAACATTTGACTTGAAATGGGTCTTTTGGCAAATACTGAATGTTTGAGTAGGTTACTTAGCCAAAATGCAAACCAGTCTTTTGGACATAGTTGTGCGAGCAAATAAATGGATATGAAAGAGGAGAAATAGAAAAATTGGGCCCAAGCAATTGACTCCCGGTGGATCATCGGGACAGTGCAGTGCTTCAGCCAAAAAGCTCTTCAATATATCCTTATATTATTCAGGGTTTAATCTGAGATAATATTATACTATTGCATGTACATAATAAGCAAGCCAATTATTGAAGACAACATGAGATTAGAGTCACCTCATTGTGGTCATGAAGAAGAATCGGGGTGTTTGCCATGGGTGAGAATCCAACTGCAGGCAATCCCTGTCGTCGAAAGTAGCGAGAATCTGTTGCAGCTGGAAAGATCTCAGGTTTCTGAAGTTTTCCACCAGCCTTTCGGATGGCATCCTCAAGTAGGCCCCACCAAGGATTGGAGCTGTCAGTCCTTGTGATGATTGGGTTCCCAGACTCATCATGCACAGGTGCTTTCTGCACGAACTGTGCAAGGTAAAATGTAATTAGACAGTCTAGCAGTGGTGCGATCTCTGCCAAACAAATAAATAGATAAGGAATAGGTAGACAAAGGAGACAACTCTGAAAACTCCAAGTTCGTTGCATAACCAATCATTTTTTTGACCGAGCATAACCAATCATTGTGTAATGATTCATGATTTCATATATGGAGAAACAGTAGTCTATGACATCAATGAAGAAAACAAAACGGCAGTTTTTCAATCAGCTCAAAGCTTCCATCTTTCTAATCATCACAATAATAGAAAGTGGCAAGTGACATGTGACGTTAAATTTCAAATCACATCATTTTCACTTCCAGTTTTTTAATGGGCTTCTTTTCCTGCTAAACAATTAAACTCATAAGTCACAAGGCGGAACACCCTCACCACATTTGACACCCCCACAACCCCCCCCCCCCAAAAAAAAGGCCGGGCCCGCAGAAAAAAGGGAACAAAAATGCCAAAATACCTCAAATGTCTACTTTACAATTTTTCTTTAACAAATATGACGTTATAGGTTATCATCACCTCAAATGCATCTTCACCTGAGAATTATCAGATTTTTTAAATACTACTTACTATTTTCATAAACGATTTTTGTATTTTTATGGCTGATTATCTATTGTCACTTAAGCTAAGCGACTGGAAAGTGATATTTTCAATTCAATTTTTTGTTCCTATGTTGTCCATTTCTTTGTTCTAGATCAAAACAAACATCAGTATGTTACATTACATTAATTCCTCATCAAGAACTGTAAGACAAGAGGACAGGGATCAAAGCTATGCAATAATATTTAATACAATAGTCACAAGTTCTTAATAATTTAAACATGATCATAGAATATCTCCTAAGCTTGCATTTGCAAGAAAGAGACAAGCAAAACAAATGTCCATTTCTTGTATATGTTTTTAATGACAGATAAATTTTTAACATTGAGAAAAAGTAAGTTAATTACCCAGAATGTCATATTACGTGAAGCAGGTGCCCATTCTTCAGCAATCCTTCTCTCCAATGATTCAGGATCAGCAGTTGGTGGCACCCTAATATCGAACCCAGCTTCTGCCTCTGATGGTTGCAAGTTCATGACAAAACCCTGGGAGATGACCAAAACGGCATTGTAACGCAAACTCCACTGCTCATGTGTTAAATAAATCTATACAATAACAAGAAGTAGCATTGGGGCGTCTAGAATTGGCAAATTCCACTACTTGTACATCATTTAGTGGCCAAACTCGATCTCTTTCAGGGTGCCCAATAATTACATGCCCCAATAAGGGTATGTATAATTGTACGTTTGCCTAACGATAAATGTATATCCATAAATAGAATCACGTATCTGTCGTACACATGCTCCAAGTTTCATTGACTTACAGTTGGAGATGGTGTTCCACCCTTTAAATAGGCCATATTAACTGAAACTGCCTCGCCTTCAGCCTTTAAACCTGTCTTGATCAAATCAAACTGCGAAGCACGAAACCTTCTTATACTTTCCAGACTCTTCAACAGATTCTCCATGGCAGAATTATCATAAAGCTTTGCCCCATGCCCTGGTGCCCCAGTAGCCTTTATTACCAGCCACCAGGGGCTCCTCTCACCGTAGAATACCCTGTAATTCTCGTTCGGGGAAGCCAGTCCTACAATTAGAATCAGGCGTAGATGACAATAAAGACCATCAGTTGTTGAAAAGGAAACACAAGAAAACTCATCATGACTTGCGCTACGATTCAATACAAAAACAATAGTAAAATTCCATATCTAATCACCTTCATCAAGCACTACACCGATATTCAAATTCTTAAGGAACTCAGATTCAACAAATTTCCCTGCACCATCATGCCCACCAATCTCCTCATCAGGAGAAAAAGACAAGTAGATAGATCGAAGAGGCTGAAACCCAGAAGCCTTCAAGCGGCGAACAGCTTCGAGGTACTGCATCCCGACGCACTTCATATCCTGGGAGCCTCGGGCGTATATGTGGCCGTTCTGGTCAATATGAGCACTGAAGGGGTCGTACATCCATTTGTGAAGCTCAGACGGAACAACATCGGTGTGGGAGTAGAGAAGAATGGCAGGAAGATCAGGGTGAGCGCCCGGCCATTTTAGCAACACCATGGGCTTCCCTTTGACGAACTCGATAGTCTGAGATTCAAGGGAGAGGGATTTTGCTTGGGCGACGAGGAAATCGGCGGCTTCATAGTAATTTGGGGCAGGTTGGGCAGTGTTGATTTGAAGGTACTGCTGGAACCTCGATAAGATTTCTGCTGCTGAAGATGACAAAGATGATGAGTCTGAAGCTTCAATGGTCGACGATGCTACGAGAATAAGCAAAGAGAGATGAAAATACAGGACTTTTGGGATGTCGAACTCCATGGTTGCGCTTCACCACCACCACCTCCACCGCAATCCAGTCCAGCAGAGTGGTTGGCTCTGTCTCACTTGCAAAAAAACTCAAGTGGGGAACATCAACCTTTCGGCAAATCGGCAAATGAGATTTTGTCTTAACTTAATTTTTAATTTTTATTTTGGGTAGCTTCATCTCTTCTTTTTTTTTTGTACATTTTTTTGTGTACAATAATTTTCTTTTATATGATGTGAAATTCAGTTTCTTTTTATGCAAATAAAATTTTTTTATATACAAGTTATTTTTGTTATTTTTTTTCCGGCAGACATCTTTGTTCTATTATATCCAAATAAGTTTTATGCAAACCATCTTATTTTTGTGTAATTTATCTTCCTTTACAATTAATCTTTTTTTTTTACAACCAATTATTACAGGGATTATTTGTCAATTAAATTTTTAACAAGAAATTTATCACTGATTTTTTCAAAAAAGTGCTGCATCTTTATATTGGTGTATGTTTTCCTTTATATATATTAGCTAAATAGCTAATAATTTAATAATCTATTATATTTTTCTCTCTACATCTATTATTCATCCAATATAACGTTTTACACTTTCTCAGATTACAAATATAAACCATGGACCCGAAGTTTTATTCTAATTTATTTATGAAAAAAGTGGCTTTTTTTTCTTCATGCGTTGGCTGGGGAAGAGTGGAAGGAAACGGTGGAAGCAGTGATATGGACAATGAATATAAATATATAATACACTTTCTACTAATCTTAATACTTACTCCGATCCTAGATATAAAACTAGTTGACTAATTTGCGTAGATTAAAAAAATAAATTAAGTTAGCTATTTGTAATAAATAAATATTTTTTTTTCTAAAATATCTTTGTTAATCAAGTTTGTTAGTTAGAACTGTCATTATTAAAAGGACTGTTTAAAAAATAAATAAATATAAGAGATAAAATAAATTAGGATTTTATATTTAAGATCAAAATAAAAATTAAACAAATTTTTATATTAAGAACTGGAAGTAGTAATATATAGTTAAACACTTTCATCTCTAGGCAAATACAACATTGATCTGAAGTGACCAGAGACGGTGGAAACAAAATCTATATAGATTCGTGGATGAGATAGCTCCTATTACCTACTAGTGAATCTGAGGAGCGTAAGCTTTGATATAAGGCCAACATGGTTAATGAGTTACCCGCAACTTTGAGAAGAAAATACAATCTATTAGGTTTGACCCTCCATTTCTTTCTGAATTACATTGACACTTGACAGTGAAGGCGTTATGTGGATTTATGGTTACATTGTGGGGCTAAAGTCCAAAGAAGCTCGCTCACCCTGTCATACATCTCCTTTTAGTCTTGCGATTCATAAACCTTGAATCGATTAAACGAGCGTAAAAAGAAGTCCTGGACAAAATATCATTTCGTATATGACTGCGGATGGTAAATCTGTCATGATCATGCCTCGTTGCCTGGCACAAATGACTGCTCAACTTACAGCGCAAGATATAGCCCCATTTCTTGGAATGGGTCCACGAAACGGCAGAGGATATTTCTCCCCGCAACTGAGCCCAAAATTTAAATCCACAAAACTCGTATTCAAAATTCCGAAAGCAATCCTACTATTTTTCAGCTGAATTGCTGCCTGGCGAATAGAAGAAAAGAGAGATGATACTGCTACTTTAACCATGACTGTCACTTCAGTTATATAGTCTACTGAAAACTGGTGTGTCATAGGTAAATTGATTATCTGTCCGATCCAGATGTGGCTCCAGCACCGGCCATGGGGAAGCAAATGAGCAAGAGCTCCTTGATGATGCTAATGAGAGGAAGCGACAATGTTGGTGCAAAGAACCTCACTAGAATTTTGAGACTATAAAGGGCCAAAGCCTTTAATTCTGTCTTCTAATGCTAACTCCTTGAAAAAGGAGAAACTTGAATTCTGCTCAATCTTTTTGCGCATCCTGCAAATATTTGTCATAGTTTACAAACCATGGGAAAATAAAAGAAAAAGGACACATAATTAAGATAAGGGCCCCAAACAAATCAGATGGAAGATCTGACCTTAAAATGAATCTAACGGAATTCATCATGGTAATCATATTGATCTTCATCATCATTGAAAATAGCGCTGTAGAATACATACGGGTTCTCAATCATCTCAGCCAATGTTAGGCGCCCATCTTTGTCAACATCTGCCTGCCATAACATTATGGAAACATTGCATAACGATGGCTTTCTTGTACTAGTTACACTTGTAAGTAATCATAAAAGATTTTGAAGCTACAAAGCGAGGATAAAAGCAGTAATTACTCGCTTTTGACGTTTTTGTCATTATCAAATTTTTTTAATTATTATTAAAAGCAGCAGCCAGTTTTTTAAACATCAAATGACCCTGAAGTAGCAACCGAACTACAACACTTCAGTTGTATTATCGTTATCAATCGGTAATATCATCGTGTTATGTATGCACAAGTTAGAAGAGAAACTCTTAGTATAAGGATTTGCTATCATATTTGATTGATCTACACATACGCAATTGAAAACATAAATAAGCAGATGATGCAAAAATAAGGAATATATCAGCAATTTAATAAGCATTACAGAGAGAAGCAAAATCAATAGACTTGCCCAAGACCTGTCTTGTGTGGATATATAGATTGGCCTAAACCCGAATGATGCCTGAAGACAGTGATACAGAGAGATATAGAGAGAAGTGTCATGTCAATGACGATGACGAAGCAGGAGAGGTGATCGAATAAAAGCCTTGAGGACCAACGAGTACTGCTAGCCATATAGAAAAGGTAAACATGATCAAGCTTTTCATCTCAAGGCAAATACACCAGCGTTCAGTGAGAACATGCATCTCGAAAAACGCTAACAGACAAAAGTTCATGCAATACCATATCAACAAAACGAAAATCTATGTTCATGTCCAAGCAAGAAAGAATTGACAAATTTGTTGTCAGCAATGAGAATGTAATTATCCACCGTTAAAATCCACACCTGTGAAATGATGTAATCTGCTTGCTGCTTCGCGTAATATCGCTCAGGTGGATGAATTTTCCCAATTATAGATAGCAGCTCCACATCTGACAAGTGTCTAGAAAAATTGACATAAAATATCAAAGATGCTTGATACTAAAGAGGGTATCAGAATCTTAAAAACCATATCTATGATGAAAACAACAATCACATACCCGTCATCATCATTGTCGAGCTGATTGAACAGCACTCTAGCTGAAGCATCCCCAGAAAAATCAGAATGATATGAACCATTATGATTTTCTTCCTCATAGGTTCTTACCAAATCAAATAGCCCATGGAAAAATTCCTTGAAGTTCATCTTTCCATCTTTGTCTGTATCTCTTTCCCTAAACAGGAAAAAAAAAGGAGGAAAAGAAATGAAGAATAAGGCAAGACAATGATGCTGTAATGCAACAAGAAATTAAATTGAAATTTCTAAATTGCTTCAGGGGAGGGGGGGCGGCGGAAGGTTAACTTCAAATATTTTCTACATTACAGATATTTGGAGCAAATGTAACCATGAAACTAACTTTCATAATAGAAAATAATCATGTAAGAAGTGTTAAAGAGACTGGAGAGCGTAAATCATTATTATGAACTAAGAGGCCGTAAACGAAAGAAAGGATGGCTAAGATAAATCAAGGATATATTGTCAAGACACTACCATAAGCAGCTGCATTGCACAAGTTGACGGTTCAGAAGTTAAGTAATGAATTATTTACTTCTTTTAAGCCACAGAAAATTATTAGCGCTAAGATTGATTGATTACCATAGAAGTCATTATGATGACCACGAAGTGAAGGATCCGTAATGAATTTATTGATGAAATTATATGATGTGCGTCCGTATCATTCTTCCTAACATTTTCAATAATACATTATAACATAATAGCTAAAGTGTGCTGCATGTCCATAACTTTTGAATCACTAACGCTTCTTTTTGAACTCTTTCTTGTTCTATGTTTCTATAGTTACCTTCGCTCTCCATAATTTCTGCTTTTCAACTCTTCCTGCTAAAACAACACGAGGGGAGTGTTCATTATGACAGATGAGAGGGCTAAATCCGGACTCTTGGATCTCTTTCATGAAAGTTCAATGTTTACCCCCTCATAAACAATGTCATTTGAGCAACAGAGGGCGGGTCCCCCCCCCCCCAATTTAACATACCATATCAAAATGACTAAGATTAATATGCAAAAAAGTAAGGTCCAAAACTTACCGTGATAAATACAATCAAAGAACTATGAACAATAGCCAAATGCCCGTTTAAAAGGGAAAATATGGTGAAGAGGAGTAGTGGCAATCACTGAGGAGGAAGGAGGAAGAAAATAATCTGGATGATGTGACACGTTTGGGAACAAAAAGTCAACCAAGAGAAAATACATGTGTGATCAGAACGATAGATATACCTTCAAAGAAACTGATATAAAAGCTGTCATGGGTATATATGAGATTTTAAGTCACCTTACTTCCTCCCTGCACAACCATCCAAGTAGCTTTGGGTTTTTGGTGTCAGCTGGGTGCAGAAAGCTACAAGATAATGAAAATAAAATTTAAGGAAAGGCGTTAGAATTGAAGAAAGAAAGAAAGAAAATCATCGAGTGTTATAAAATAATGTTTCTAAAGAAGCAGGAGCTCACTCATTGTATTCAGTTAAATTTAGAAGACCATTTCCATCTGCATCGGACGCCTTAAAATGCTCTTCTTTCCACCAGCCCACGTTATAACCGAAAGAATTATTGTCTGAAAAATTATAAGAAGAAGCATTCAATACAAAAGCATCCAGGACCAAAATCACAACAGTAACCAATATGGCGAAATTATATGTAAGAACAAGCGAAAATTAACATTAGAAAAATTATTAGCTAGAGAATATTCCTGCAGTTTTAGGAAAATAATAATCCCAGCTATTGGTTTAGACTTGGAAGGATCCAGAAGAAAATATCACAATTTGCACATTTCATCGAAAATAAAGGAGAATATTTATAGCTCTAATTCTAGAAATCAGGACTAGAAACAGAACCTGCAATATGAACCCAACTGGGAGGTTCGTACTCAGAAAACGAAACAAACCCATCATGGTTCTTGTCGTGAACGTCCATGTCTCTCTTGGTCCTATGCAAGATCTCCCTCTGGGCCTGCTGCAAGTTCCACTCAGTCAACTCGTGCTCACTGACGAACCCATCAGTCGTGTCCACATCAATCCTGGGAAAGAGCACAATCAACCTATCCGTAACATTGAACTTGTCCTCGTCATTCAAATAATCTTCAGCGTCGATGAAATCCTCCCACTCGGGCTGAGACTCCTCCCCTGCGGCGGACTCGTCGTCAGGGAAATCTTCGTGAGAAAGCTCGAAGTAGTGTTTTTCCCAATGCCTCTCTTCACGGCGGCGTTCGATCTCGGCGACGAGGGGGTCGAAAGTGACAGGGCGATGAGAAGACGAGAAAGTGAAGTGGGAACGAAGCTTGAGACGGCGGTGGCGATGGCCGGTTTGTTTCTTAGGGGAATGGGAAAGGAAGAAGAGAAGTAGGAGTGCTACAGTGAGATAGAGGAAGATCGATGCTTTGCCCATTGCATTGATCCCACTCCAAGAAAGCAAGGGGCGAGAGAGAGTGACTAACTGAATACTGCAGAATTAATTGAGGTGAGAAAGGATGAAGAGGGGGACTGATGAGTCGGTTAACAGAACAAAAGGAGAAGATTCGATCCCGCGCGAAAATCTGTCACGATCACAACTTAAGCCATGCAATTTGCATTGTACTCGTTAAAGTCCCCGAAGCGCGAACCAGCTTCTCCTAACTGTAGCTTTATCTTATTTACCGATACGAACAAATCAAACAAAATAACGTTGGCCCAAAAGACAGATATTGAACAAAATATCTTACAAAAATAGCATATGGTATTAAAGACGTATTTTCTCTGATCTAAATTATAAGTTCTTGTTTATAAATTATAAACAATACCTTATAATTAAAATTAAGACCGGAAGTAATGTTTTGTTATTAATTTGGTGATCTAATTATAATATGAAGCGGTAGTGGAGTAATTTTATATTGTACTCCTTATAGAAATAGTTGCAATTCTCATAATAAATATTCCTCAACGGCTCAACCATCGAAGCAGATCCTTGGATTGCACAACATTTGAAAAATAAATTACATTATTACCAATATATAAATAGCATAATTTATTATTAATTTTGTACTTTATGTTCAATATTAATGTTGATTACGGACGAGTTCATAACCAGAAAAGAGATATGATTAAGAAAACAAGTATCGCGATTAATTAAGATAATAGTATTTTGTAAAAAGAGCAATGTATGTATATATATATGCACTTTATCAGGACAATTTTTTTTCCCAGAACTTATTAAAGATGTCCAAATCTACCGAGACAACTATTACTTCCGGTCTTTAATATAAGATCTTGTTTGACTTTTATTTTAATTCTAAATATAAGATTCCAATCCACTTTATCTCTCATATTTATGTTTTTTTTTTTCTGTGATAGTCCTTCTAATAATGATAGTTCTACCAAATATATTTGATTAAGAAGGATATTTTAGAAAAGACAACACTTATTTATTATAAATAACTAACTTAACTTGTTTCCTTAATCTTCTCAAATTAGTCAACTAGCTCTTATATTTAGAACCGAAAGTAGTATTTCTTAACTAGTTATACCTCAGCTGGCCGCCGGGGTGGGATAAATGCATAAAATTTTGATCTGATAGAGAGAAAGATAGTAATCATAAACAAACTCAAAAGGAGCTACCTAGGGCCAGAAAAATGATACTGCTACCTTGATCAGAAGGTTGCCATACTTAATGTGGTACATACATTATCCATTGACAATGGGATCATTTTTCGTGTGCTGTGATTTAACTATTATGGTTCAATCAGTGACGTGAAAATCAACAAATTTTACTATTATGAAGTTGAGATTACTACAATCATCCAACTCAGCAAACACGAACTCCCTGAAGATAACAAAGGGATGAAGCAAACATGTTGCCACCGTATAGGAATGTAGATTGAAAACCTTCTCGTAATGATTCCTCATGGAGGAAAAATATGTGTCCTGCAAATGGGAATGGGAAATCTCTGTATCAAAGGAACGTAAATGATAGATGGACAGAAAGCAGACGCAAAGAGCCGTGCGTACCTAAAATGAAGTTAACGGAACTCATCGTGAAAATCATCCTCATCCTCATCATCTTCGAAAATTGCACTATAAAATACATATGGGCTCTCAATCATCTCAGTCAATGTTAGGCGCCCGTCCTTGTCAACGTCCGCCTGTCATAGCATTGTTGCATTCTTCAATTATGAAATTCTCATTATGTTCCGCTCGCAAATAATCAACAATGACAGTTTGCAGAAACACGAGAAAAAACAGAAAACAGCAACAGTAAGACCATCCAAGTGCGTCTACTAAGCCGCATCACTACAATCGCGCTCCTATCATCATCGTCAATCGTGATAGTTATTATGCAGTGCTCATTCACACGCATGTGAAAAAGATATTCTTCTTATGAGCACTTTCAATCCTTGGCAATTACAGAATAGTCACTGATACAAGGATTAGGATATCATTACCTCATCAACATAACTATTTCTATGGCTGATCTACCCATACAACAATTGAAAGAATACATGAATTACTATATATATGTGAAGGACAAGTCAATGAGCATAAATTGCCAAAATACGCATATAGACAAAAGGAATATTTATAGACTCAACTAAGACGGGAGCATGGACCAAATCATGCCATTAGACAGTGAAAATTTTCACCAAGACTGGTTGTGTCCATTGAAGCCTTCAACAAGTACATGATCAAAGCTTTCATCTCAAAGTAAATTCACCAAGGCATGGTAGAATATATGAAATACCAGCTTTGGCAAAATACTGACGGATATAGTTCACGAAATGGGGCACTAGCAGAACAAAAACTCATTTCCATGTCAAAATGACATCACAAATGTTGACAACGAAATTAGTAGTACAATGATCTTCAGGTTAGGTTCCATACCTGTGAAATGATATAATCCGCTTGCTGTTTTGCATAGTAACGCTCGGATGGATGGATTTTCCCAATTATAGGCAGTAGTTCGGCATCTGATAAGTGCCTGCAAAAGGTTGACATAAAACATCGACAATGATTGACATTACAAAGAGAGAAAAAGGTATTTAAAGTTGTATCGCCAATGATGAAAATAAAAAGAATGAATACCCGTCACCATCTTTGTCAAGCTGACCAAACAAAACTCTAGCTGGACCATCCATTGAATTATCAGAATGATGCGAAGAGTTATGACTTTCTTCATCATAGTTTCTTACTAAATCAAAGAGCCCATGAAAGAATTCTTTGAAGTTGATCTTCCCATCCCTGTCTGTATCTCTCTCCCTTTGAAGGAAAACAGAGGAAAAGTAATCAAGAACAAGCAAAGATAGTGGTACAATATTTGGAACAAAAGAACCAGGAAATTCAACAGCGTTATAGAAAATAATCCTCCATGACAAGTAAAAGTGCTGAAACCATCATACATCTACCATTTATCAGCAAACATGCTAACTGGGAAAGCTCACAAGGACTGAAAAGTTTCCTTCTAATGCTCATGGGTTACATGAATTTGGGCTGCCACCAGAAATCATGGTCACACGGGAATGAGTAAAAATTTAGAAGAGTTATGTGGGCACTAAAAGGCCCTATAAATTAGATAACCATGATACTGGAATATTGTGAATATTGGCTAAGGCTACTTTGGGAACACCAGGAGGAAACCGAAGATAGAAAATCAAGGATATATCGTCAAAAACAGTTTACAAGTCGCTACATGCTTGTGCTGCTGATTTCAAAGTTTCAGCAGTTATCTGATCATTAAACTTTGTAGTCTTTTGAAGGTATAAAATTTATGGTGAAGAAAGCTAAATAGATACAGGAAAGAAATAAAACTTATTGTTCATGTTGATTACTAGAATCAAGACTCGATTGATTACTCAAGAAGCATAAGAGCAAGAATTTAAGAGTAATTTTTAGGTGATTGTAGAAGAACAATGTTTTTTGTCTCCCAAAATAAAAGAACTTAATAAAAGAAGGTGAAAAGGCAAGCCTTGACAAAAGAAATTAAGCCCTCAAAATAGGGCATCAGCCAAAAAAAGAGAAAAAAAACAAAGAAAGAAAGGGCATAAGCATCACAATTGACCAGAATGTTAAATGCAAAAGCAAATGTCCTCGTAGAAGCACACAAAAAAGCTGTCATATTATGAGATTTAAGTCACCTTACTTCCTCCTTGCACAACCATTGAAGCAGCTTCGGGTTTTTGCTGTCAGCTGGATGCTGGAAGCTACAAGATCCCAAAAGTAAAGAAATAAAGAAAAAGCATTGGCACTGAGGGGGAAAAAAATCATCAAATAGGAGCAACGCATAAGGCAAGGGTTTTAAACAAGCAGGAGCTCACTCATTGAATTCAGTCAAGTTTAGAAGCCCATCTCCATCAGCATCTGAAGCATTAAAATGCTCTTCTTTCCACCAGCCCATATCATAACCGAAAGAATTATTATCTGGAAAGGTACCAAAAGAAGTATTTAGGGGCAAAAAATCACAACAGCTTCCACTATGGCCACATTGTATAAGGAAACGATGAACATTAACGGTAACATAGTTATTAGTTACGAAACCACCGAGGAAATCAGGAAAATAAATATGACAGGGGAACCAGATAAGCAGATTGTTTGTGCCAAATGAGCAAGTGATAGTCAGAATTGGCAACATTACCTGCATTGTGAACCCAGCCGGGCGGTTCGTACTCGGAAAATGAAATGAATCCATCATGGTTCTTATCATGAATCTCCATCTCTCTTTGCGTCCGATGCAAAACCTCCCTCTCGGCCTGCTGCAAGTTCCACTCAGTCAACTCGTGTTCACTGACGAACCCGTCAACCGGGTCCACGTCAATCTTCGGAAAGAGCAAAACCAACCTATTGGTAATATTGAACTTGTCCTCGTCATTTAAATAGTCTTCAGCATCCATGAAATCTTCCCACTCGGGCTGCGACTCCTCCCCGGGGGCGGAGTCGTGCGCTACAAATTCGGAGTGAGAATGCTCAAAGTACTGCTTTTCCCATTGCTTCTCTTCACGGTGGCGTTCGATCTCAGCGACAAGTGGGTCGAAAGCGACGGGCTCATGGTGTTGGGAGGCATGATGAGAAGTGGCGAGAGTGAAGTTGGAACGAAGCTTAAGGCGGCGATGGCGATGGCTCGGATGCTTCTTCGGGGAGTAGGAGAGAAACAATAGGAGGAGTACCGCTGCAGTGACATACACAATTATCGAGGCCTTCCCCATTGCATTGATGATCGATCCCTCCCTTAACAGAGCAATACGAGAGAGATGGGCAGGGAACACTGAATTGAATTGAAGATATAGAACAGGGAAAAAAAAAAAATATAAAGGGAAGAGAAAAGAAAGAGGATTGAGGAATTGGACTTGATTTGAGATCAGGATGAGCTGACCAGAAGGCAGAGATGGCCAGATCTATGACAGGGCACGACTTTGCCTCCTCCTCAGCTTGCTTGTATGGGGCAAATTTGATTAAAAAAACAGGAAAACCTTGGGAATACGGTTTGTAGGATGGTTGCTGGCAACCAGAATTACAAGTTTGTTCAACATAAACTAAAGCTAAAATGGATAATTCCCCGCAACTTCGAATTAACTGCATATAATATAACTTATCTCGAATTTAACAGATTAGAACTAACACCCTCCTTTTTTAAGATACTTGCCATTGAATAGCTGTTAAATTTAACAAAATTCCATTAGAATGTGACTCGTCCCCATCATCTTCTTCCTTTCATATAGGCATAAGGCATGTAAAAAGGAGTTTGTAAGACGCCTAAAGAACGCAGAACAGCACATTCAAAATTTACGCATGATATAACAATATATTGCATAGCCTTATATGTTAATCAAAAAAAATTTTTTGACCGGAAAATAGATCGTCAGGGTTAAATGAATGAACTCAACTAGCCTTCATTTATAGAAATAAACTTATGAGATGGGGATAGAAGAAATTTCTCCCCGTCCAAATAGCACAGCCATGGCGGCAATGACTCGTTTAGTATGATTGATAATTCAAGAAAAGAAATATCATAACACAGACCTGTTTTTATAATATTTTTTAATTGATGTTAATGGGTTGGATTAAAATGTATATTTTCAAAATAAATAAAGATTTTATATTATTGAGATAAAATAGAATAGTTGTCTGAACATTTTACTCAGTTTTTTTTTTATTACGGCCAAACATAGTTTTAAAAAAATAGATGCTCTCCTTTTTCTCTAGAAGGGGGAAAAAAGTCTGTTCCAATGGGCAACACACATACGATCTGTCCCTTAACATGTCCAATGGGCTACAAAGTAAAACTTGCGGCTCCTGGATTCTAGTGAGATAAAGCCCAAACATATAACACTGTCGAACCATGAAGGTTTGCAACTCAGGGGTGTTAAATATTTTTTAAAAGTACTTTTTTGTAAATTTTTTTATATATTTATTTTGTATTTTGTAAAATTACTTCTAAAATTATGATTTGTTTCCCATCCAAACACCCCTTTGGACATCCAGCATCTTAACCTCAAAAAGGTATTTTAAATCTTGAGATTAAGATATTTTTTGATACTGAAGTTTACTCTTATTTTGATTTTCGTGTCTTAAATTTTTATTCATTTAAAATATTAATCCCTAAAAATTAGTAAAAATGTAGACCATTTTGATCATTAAGGGACTCAATTCTAGGTGGTAAAAGAGGGCGGCCCACTGATTATGGGTCAACCCGTCGCAGGGTTTAGACCATGTGGGCTGGTCCCAAAAAAACCACCTCCTGGCAGGCACACATTTTGCCAACTTGTCCTGATAAGGGGTGGGTTGGCCAGCTAACCCCTATCTTTTTTTAAAAAATTTTTTTACACATATATTTAAAATTTTTAAAATTAAATTATAAATTTTTATAGACTAAATTCTTCTTATTCTTATATTTTCATATAATTATATAATTAAATTAATCTCAAAAGTTAACTTATAAGCACATCATTTATTATTAATAATTATTTTATTAGTATAAAAATAGTAAAACAATAAAGAAAATGAGAAATTAAATTTAGAATTAAAGTCTCTGACAAAATGTAAAGTTATATGTAAATTAAGTAGAGACTAGCCCGCAGGTTAGGAAGTGTGGGCTGAAAAGGACCGTATCAAAATGGTCTCTATTTTTTTCAACCCAACTTGTCACTTTATGTCGGGTTTGTGAGTTGAGCCTGCGGGCTCAACCCATATTATTGGTTCTGCTTAAATCTATAGTGTGAAATTGAAAAATTAAAACCAAAAGTAACATAAATTTGATTGATCAAATATTATATTAACTTTTAAAATTTTTAATAAAAATAATATAAATTCAAAGCATTCATAATATCTTTAACATAAAACACGTTGTATTGTAATTGATAATGCCTGAGAAACTAACATTTTCATAAAAACCGACTGTACAATGAGAAGATTAAATTTAATTGTGTTTTTGTTTTAAATTGAAACATTAAACTACAAATAATTGCTCTTATTCTACCAAAAGAAAATCTCATTATCATTGATTCAGATATCCAAAGGGTTCTTATTCCAGGAGAAGATCCAGAAAGCCTTTCCTGAGATATTTTAAGAGGCGCAAGCCTTATTCAAAGAAATCTGACTGATGTTATGTATGTAAGAAAAAAGGACATTTTGCAAAAAATTGTTCTAACAAGACAAAAAAAGATGTGAAGATGCTAGAACATTTGCAGACTGTTCTAATGATCAATGAAGATGAAGATATAGTAATAAGGAGGAAGTGCGAGGTAGAGTTATTTTTTTTAATAAAAAATAAGGTTGAATTCCGTGCACGATTCAAGGCCAAGAAAAAAAAAATTACGTGCATGATTGGGGCTCTTTCAGATTTTATTTGTTTTTCGGCCGCTTTCCTTGACGTCTCCCTTTTGTCCTTCTGGCGGGCAGTCGTTGTTTTGGCCCTCACTTTTTCTTCACTTCTTCCTTAATTACCTCAAGTATGACTTGTCTGGCTTAGTGTTAGACTTTTTTTAAGTAAGAAAAACACTTCAAATTCAAGTGAGATAAAAAAAAAATTATGTTTGGTATTGCTTCAGTAGTAACTAATTTTTGTTCTTTTTGAAAAGCTATTTTAAAATTGAAGCATTGTTTTCTAAGTTCTTTTTGGGCTTGAATTTCTTGGAAAACCAACTTTCTAATATGCTACTATCTCCGATATTTAATATAAGATATTATTTGACTTTTATTTTGATTCTAAATATAAGACCGCAATCTATTTTATCTGTTATATTTATTTATTTTTTTCAAGATAATTTTTCTAATAATGGTAGTTCTAGCCAATATACCTGATTAGCAAAGATATTTTAGAAAATACAACACCTATTTATAACAAATAACTAATTTTACTTATTTTTTTAATATACTCACATTAATCAATTAGCTCTTATATTTAGGATCGGAAGTAATAATTCTTATATTACTGGATATCATTTACACGAGGCATATAATTCACAACCTCGTGTAAGCGTGGGGAGTAATGTTGGCTACAAGCACTTGACATTCAAAGTAGCGTTGTACAATTTTTATTTTAAAAAACAATAAAATCATTATATATTCTTCTGATTATTAACGTAAGAACTATTTATCTAATCTAAATGGATTTAAAAAAATTAAACAAATTGCTTAATTATAATACGTGTGATTTAATCTTTCTATAATAAAAAAAATAAATATAAAAAATAAAATGAATTAAAACCTTATTATCCTCATGTAAACCTAATTAACTAATTTAAATAATTAATAATATTAGTTAAATTAGTTAATATGATAATATATTTTCTAAAACATCTTAGTTAATTATTGTTAGTAAAATATCAATAAAATTAATTTGTAAAAAATTAATAAATATGTAAAATATGCCTTAGATATAAAGTCCATGTCATCTTTCAATTAGGTGCTATATATACATATACAGGACGGAGGAGTATTTAAATTAAAAAAAAACCTCCGGCTAGTTCTTATGGAGAAATATATCTTATAAGAATTAGTTGGCTAATTTTAACAGATTAAAAAAATTAGTTAAATTAGTTATTTATAATAAATATGTGTTATATTTTTTAAAATATTTTTACTAATTAAGTTTATTAGTTAAAACCACTATTATTATAAGGGTCTTTTTAAAAAAAAATAGATAAATTAAATTAAAATCTTATATTTAAGATCAAAATACTACCTCTGGTCCTAATTATAAGAGCCAGTTAACTAATTTGAAAAGATTAAGGAAGTAAGTTAAGTTAGTTATTTGTCCTAAATAGGTGTTGTCTTTCCTAAGATATCCATACTAATCAAATGTATTGATTAGAACTATCATTGTTAGAAGGGTTACTTTAAAAAAATATATAAATATGAGAGACAAAATAAATCGAGGTCTTATATTTAGGATCAAAATAAAAATCAAACAGGATTTTATATTAATTACAGGTGGCAAAAGAGCAGGGAGAGGTAGTATGTACCAGGAATGCTAAAAACTGTTTCTCCGCCAAGCAAGATACTAATGCAGTGATGCCGAAGGGCAACAAATATAAATATGAATTTTTCAGAAATGACAAGGATGAGTGCGAAGATCCGAAAGATTGAAATGATTCCGATGGTTATTATTTACACGTATGATGTGTTTGTACGAAGTATTCAAAGTATCTAGAAATTAATCATTTAACAGTGCGAACTTATAAAATCTATTAAAAATATCCCAAAATTGAAGGGGGCGGGGGAGGGAGGAAAGGCTTAATCAGTCCGCGGTACAAATGCAAATACATCCGCGCATAAAAAGACAAGATACAGTATTTGTCCTTGACTATTTTGCTGGGCAACTCAACTTTCACCAGAACTGAAGAAAGAGGGGGATAAAAGAGGGAAACATCGAAGCCTTCAAGCATTTCCAGAGAAATACAAAGGTGACGATTTCATAAACCTCGAATATGATAAGCATCTGTTTCAATCCTTCTATTTTTGGATTCCTGCCTCATAGACGTTGTTATCTCATCTCTGTTCTGATTTGGATATTGTTTTTTATTCCTGGATTTGTTAGAGATAAGGAAAATCATAAAGTGAAGAAGAGGAAAAATATAAATCAATAGTATCTCTCTCACTCTCTCTCCACCTTTTTGGACCTTTTGATTCCCTCTCTAAACCCGACGCTCCTCAATTTCTCTCTCTTCATGTTGTATCAGCTGTCAGATATTAATGGGTGCCGCAGATTCCAGTGGTTTGCAACTTGGGGTGTGGCTTTTTCTAGCCCAGCTGTCCTATTTGTAACAAAGTAGTTGTTGGGGGATGGGACCAATTGACCCATCCTGCACCTCTTTGTGGGATTTCAGGATAGCAATCAATGTCATTCATGATTTTTAAGTTCTACCCTTGTAAATTTCAATCAAATATTGGGGCTTTTTCTTAAACTTGTTTTATTTACTAGATTATCTTTCATTCCGATTCTGATTTTTTTTTCCTTTTAACCTTCTTTTGGTTCTTGTGGCTGAGATTAATTTGTTGCGCAATCTATTTATATCATGTACGATGTTACAGTAATTACTGGGGTTTTGTGGGGCTCAAATTTTTCACATAAAATTGGTTGCTTCAGCGAACCTTTCACAGTCGCGCTCGGGATTAGGTTTTTACTTGGCTGTGAATATAGTTTGTTGGGTGTTGGAACTAAAATATCTTTTTGACTGTTGGCTAAGGTGTCAGAAACTTGATGGTAATAGGATAGGAACAGGACAAGGGTTCCCCAGTTTAGCTTTTGCATCCCATGTGTTTGAGAGGTGATTATTTTCTAATCACTTGCTGGTGCTCTTGAACTCTGATAAATACCCATAAACCCACTCCTTTAATGGTATCTACAGTGACCGACTGTTAGCTTTTTTCGTTGAATCTTACAAAGGTATGTTGTGGTGGGTTTCCTCTGTGATCCATCAAACTTTTGAGATTTGAGATTTTTGCCGGGTTCAATTTTTTTATCTTAAAGGTGGTTTTATTCATAATGAAGTATTAAATGGGTTTTGATTCCGCTTAATACTCGTTCAACCTCAGATTATTTCTTCTTGCTCTTTGGGGCTTTGAAACATTTTGTCTCTTTGTTGCTTTCATTTGTGTGATTTTCTGCATAAGAATGCTGGACAATTTTTACGAAATCAATATACATAGTGGAAGAATATATTTTCGTGGTCCCGCGCTGTTAAAACTGTTCTTATCAGTAGAATTGTATGGGCAAACTGGATATTTTCTTTTGTTGGGTGTGTGTGGGAATGGGAAATAGCAATTTGAATACTCCTTATCCATTATAGTCTTCTCGGGTTTTCTTATTGGTTGCATCCGAAAGGTCTCTTTCGTATATCAAAATCAAAGCCCTAATTACCATCATATTGACTAACATTTACATTAATTTCTAAGTTTTCACTTGCCTTATAACACCGTGTACAGCATCTATGGCTTTATAGTTGTCAGATATTTCTCATGTTCTAAGTTAACCTTATTTCTTTTCTGTTCATCTATAGGTCAGCAATTCACAAGAGTGCTTATGTTTCGAATTCTGAAGCAAATCTTCATCCAATTCTTGCCCATCTCAGTATTCTTGCTTTGCTTCAGCTCCTTGGGATTAGTTGCTTCTGTTGGCTTCACCGTATACTAGCACTTACTATCCAACGTATCAGGCCGATCACCACCCGTTATTTAGCAGGCCATCAAAGTTAATAGTAGTGCTTGCCATGGAGATAGTCTAGAATTATTTTTCCCATCACGCAATTCCATGAATCTGTGGCATTTAAGATGGATTTAACCTAGATCTTAGAGCAGTTACCTAGAAACCTTTTGCTTCTTACTATAATAAAATTCTAGTTGATTCAAGCGAGACTTAATGACTGTTGATGAAGTGGGTAGTAGCTCTGTGTGGAGCAGAGAGCAGGATAAAGCATTTGAAAATGCCCTAGCAACTCATCCAGAAGATGCATCAGATCGATGGGAGAAGATTGCAGCTGATGTACCAGGGAAAACTGTAGAAGAGATTAAACATCACTACGAGCTATTGGTTGAGGATCTTAACCAGATCGAATCTGGTTGTGTGCCTATACCTTCCTATAATTCTTCTTCAGAGGGGTCAACCAGCCATGCTAGTGATGAAGGTGGGGGCAAGAAGGGTTCTGGGCATTATAACAGTGAGTCTAATCATGGAACCAAGGCTTCAAGATCAGATCAGGAACGACGAAAGGGTATTGCTTGGACAGAAGATGAACACAGGTAATTTTGTCATTGCTTATATGTTTGCTGAAACTTACATACGCGTATAGATGGTTATACTCTGCTGGAGGTTGGTTACTCCCTTTAAATTTGTTCTATAATTGTTGGCACAGGTGTATTTAATTGTATATTTCTGTGGCTAGTTATATCTGATTGTGTACTGTTTGTCCTGATTGATGGGTATTGCAGTATGGCTTTAATCAATGGTTTGTTATTGACCTTAATAAATTTTTTAATGATTTTTGCTGGTTTAATATATGTTAACCCCTAGTCTTTCTGATGGCTATCCTAAGGTTCTTCTATTTCACCCACACCATGGCATTGTGATTACTGAACATTTTACACAGTAATATTCTTTGATGTTGTTTAATGTCTGCTGTTATTTCTAACATTTACAATTTACAATTCTTGGTGGGTCAATGACCATTCTCGTCTCTCAGGATTCAATTAGGATGATACCTGTAAAGGCCTAAAAAATTTTTGTATTGAGAATTATGATCAATAAACTGTGTCTGTTAGAGGTATTTGCTGTTAGAAACACATGGTTGTTGTGTTAAAGTTAATACCGAGGGTAAAAAATAGCTGGAAAATATGAAACTTACTCCAAAGGTGGTTTTTTTTTTTGGGGGGGGGGGGGGGGGGGGGAAGAGAGGGAGCTAATGAACCATGTAACAATTACATGTGTTCAGTGATGGGATTTTTAGATTCAAATTACTAGTAATAAAAATGGATTGTAGTATTGGGGAGAGAGGGTAGGTATACGAGATCTTTCCAATAAGAGGGTTTCTGAAAGTTATGTTTGCTGATTTTGTCCTTATGTTTCTGATTTTGTCAATTTATGTCAATTTTAAAACTAGTTCTTCATGTAAACCATGCACTTGCGGCACAGCAATGAGCAATGTGGAGGGACCAAATTTAGATGAACTAGAAGGTATGAGGCTTTAGGATAGAAAAATCAGAAGGGGACACTCGAAATTTTTTTTTGGCCAAAGGACACTCCAAATTGAGAAATGTTCTATCCTTGGGGGATAAAAATGTCAAAAATGTTTCTTGTCCTAACCGGCCTTTGGAGCATCAACTGTTTCGAACGAGAGTATTCCTGTATTCATTTCTGTATATGCAACATCTTTTGGCACGTAACATCCATGAAAATGTCAAGCTGTGATTGGAGTGCAACAATGACTCTTGCAAGTAGATTTCTCTACACAGTAGTTAATGCAACTTCCAACTTGTTTGTTTTTTAGTGCTTGATACGTTGCTGCCCTTCATCACCTTTCTTCCTATCTGATGCTTATCTCATTTGAAAGACATTAGCTACCTGTTTAAGTACATCAATGGTTAATGCTTATTGAGACTCTGTAGATGAAACCAAGCAGATGAAACGGCACGTTGAGTTATTTTGCCCGAGACATGATGGAGCCTGTGGCAGTTTTTTTAACTGCTTGTAGATGCTATTTCTGTAGCTGACAATCTTAGTTAGGTTGTCTGTAAATAGACCTGTTGTTATTTAGTGCATGTTCGGGACTTGGGAGGTGAATGAAAGGGAAGTCATCCGAAGATAATGGAAGGGGAGAAAAGGCGGGGAAAATGATGGCTAAGTGATGACTCACTCTTCATTTGGATGCCTCCAAAATCCTATTATATTTAGGACATGCAAGACAACAATTTTAAAAATTTCATATTTGTTATATCTAAATATTTGAAAAAATAGTTGGCCAAAAATATCTCTCAAAAATAGATTTCGAGTTGGTTGGAAAAAATATATCTCTTATGTATCAAATAGCATCTTAAGCCTTTCGTAAGCACTTAATACCCTCCTTATATGCCTTGACAAATATGCTTATGACATTCGGTCATCCTGAGAATATTAAAGTTCAAAGTTCCAGTTTAAATTTTACAGTGAAATAGACAAATCCAGCAATCTTTTCACGCATCATACCTCTTGAAATGGACATCCAGAGTGGGGGGCTTACAGGTTATGCTTGGTAGGATAGGATGGAGCCATTCGTGAGGGGAATAGGAAGGGGGAGATGCTTTCGTGGGAATATGATTTTTGGACTAAAAATGTGTTTGATGGGCTGGAAGAAATCATGTTTTCCCCCCACATTGGAAGTTGGGCGTGTGGCAACCAAGAAAGTATTTTCTGTCTTAGAATTTCTTGAAGTCTTCATTGCAGAATACTTGTTTTCTGGGCCATATGCACGATTGGCAGATTCACCTCCCTTCGCATTTTCTTTCCGGTTTTGTACTTATTTTGCTTAAAATTGGAGGAATTTGAATTGGAGCAAATGCCAACATATTGTTTCTACTCTTGTCCAGAATTTGTGATATCAATTCTCTTTCCAACATGCTTGGGGAATCGGACCCAATTGGCTCCATATTTTTACTTCTTTTTAGGTTTCTTCAAGGCTATAGGAAATTAAAAACAATTGGAGTTTACTAAATTGGCATTCTTCAAAGAAAGAACGCGGTCCGTTTCCCATTCTGTATGATTTCTCGGTTGAGTTTGGTTTCTTCAAAGCGCTTAGCTATGCTTTTCATGATCTATTCCTCATTAACGTCTTGTCAATGCAATTGCTTGTCTATCTATTTAATGCTTTATTGCTATTCATGTACCCTGGTTTGAAAATTTTGCTCGATGGAATTAAATTAATATCAAGGAGTCAATGTGATTGATAATTCAAGTGACTGTATTTGATGGGAAATAGGATTTAACAGGAAAGCGGGTTTCTAGTGAATTTCAGTTTTGTTGTACTTGCACCAGAAATCTGTTTTCATATACACGTGTAAAACTTGAATTCATCGAACTTCTGTTTTAAAATTTTAAAATATGTCAAACAGGTTATTTCTTCTTGGCTTGGAGAAGTATGGAAAAGGTGACTGGCGAAGCATATCAAGGCACTTTGTGGTGACAAGAACGCCCACTCAAGTAGCAAGCCATGCTCAAAAATACTTCATTCGTTTGAACTCCATGAATAAAGATAGAAGAAGATCCAGTATACATGATATCACCAGTGTGAACAACGGAGACATTTCAGCTCCTCAAGGACCGATCACTGGTCAAACAAACGGTTCTTCTACATCCAATGCTGCTGCCAAATCAAGCAAACAAGCCCCTCAAACTCCAAACGGACCTCCTGGTGTAGGAATATATGGTACCCCAACTATTGGGCAACCTATTGGAGGACCCCTGGTCTCTGCAGTGGGCACACCGGTAAATCTTCCTGGGCCACCACATATGGCGTATGGGGTCCGAGCACCAGTTCCCGGCACGGTTGTTCCTGGTGCCCCAATGAACATGGGTCCTATGACATACCCTATGCCACACACATCCGCTCATAGGTGAGGTTATTGGTATTTAGAGGCCAAATGTACAAAGAAACAGCAGACTAGAAGGCCTATTCACTTTAATTCTTTCGCTAGACATTGAGTATTATGCTTGATCAGTGATAATAAGCTATATGCTACGGTGAAGCACTTGAATGAATCGCACATGAATCTGTATCAGCTGCACTGGAGTCCTTGGCAGTCCTGCCATAGGACGAGCATAAAAAGGATTGGTTGCTCTGTAGACCTTAAATTGATATGTTGTTCATAGAATTTGCTCCTTGTGTAGAGAAGAGTTCTATGCCCTTGAATTTTACAGCGCCCCTTGCCTTCTCTTCTTCATGCAGAACGAATCCCAGCGCCTCTGCGCAAATTTCACGAGGTTTACAATTGCTGGTTTACAAGCCATGTAGTAAAAAGTAATGTGCTTGATGTGATTTGGGATTAAAAATTTAGATGCACGAGATTAATGGAGTTTATTTTAAAATCGCCTTGAAAAATAATGATCCAGACAATGTAAGAGAGAAAGTAAATGCTCTGAGAAAGCCCATCTAAATATGTTCGTTTAAATTTATGCAAGATTCGATTTTGAAGTCGGTTCCCGTTTTTTGGTAACAAAAGCTGCGCATTGTTTGAATAAATTTGAGTTAATTATAATTCTCCACATTGTTAGCTGCGTGTAATTTCCACGACTAATTAAAAGAACTTTGCCAAAACAACATGAATCAAGCATCTTTGTTCGTGTTTTGATTTTTTTTTTTAAAAAAAACAACCAAGGGCATTAAATTTTCAAATTCAATTCCAAAAATTTCATAGTAATTTTAAAATTTATTTTTAATTGTAGTGTTAATACTACCTCCGGTCCTAATTACAAGAGATAGTTGAGTAATTTGAGAAGATTAAAGAAATAAGTTAAGTTAGTTATCTATAATAAATAGATGTTGTCTTTTCTAAAATATCCTTACTAAGTGTATTGTTAAGAAGGACTATTTTGAAAAAATACATAAATATGAGAGATAAAGTGAATTAAGATCTTATAATTAAGATCAAAATAAAAATCAAACGAAATCTTATATCAAGGATTAGAGGTAATATAATTTTTTTTATCCCTCAATTTTTTTTTTTAATTTTGATTTTAGTCTTTCAAGTTTCAAACCTTACTTTTGGTTTCTTAAGGGATAGAATAGTCTAGATTTTTATTGAATTATAAGAACTAATATTTTAAAAAGAAACTTGAGAAGTAAAAACATGATTTAAAACTTGAGTAATCAAAACTAAAATAAAAACAAATTTGAATGATCAAATCATATAATTCAAAACTTAAAGAATTAAAATTAACATAAAGATAAACTTAAGAGACTAAAAATCATATTAACTCTTAATTTTAGTTCTTTACTTTTCCATTTTATAAATCATTGGACAGTCGCCTCACGAAAAATCACATCTAATGAACATATCAACTAACACCACGCTAATGTTCTACATCCTTTTTTTAATACTTTTCCGATCTTAAATATAAGACCCTTATACTATTAGTATAAAGGTTTTATATTTAAAATCGAAAGAATAGAATGATCCAGTTTTTGTAAACCATTAAATAAATTTCTTCTCACACCAAGTTAATGTTCCAAGTACTCCCCCCCCCCCCCCCAAAAAAAAAAACTATGATCCCCTTTTTGTGAACTACTAGATAAATTTCTTAAACGTTTTGTACGAAAGAAGTGCTAACATTACTTCAAACAAAATTCTTATATCCAATAAGAGAACACCTACCTAGCTCAAAAATTTTCCTAAGACCTCTATTAAATTATAAAAAGGATCATTTAAATTGAAGCATCGATGTCTACACTTAAATTATTTTAACAAAATATAAAACACGCACACTTTTTTTCTGGGTAAATGTTTTAAAAACTTAAAAATACACGTAAATAATTAGGTGTCGTGCGCAGCCTTTGGTGTGGGGCGCAAGTGGAACAGTTTTTATTTGGGTACAAAAACAGTATTTATATTGATTCTTTTTTCCCCCCCCATAATTTCATACTGATATTACAATTACAATATATTCCGATCGAGATCTGGGTGTTGAACTTCTCCCTCTTGGAGCCAGCAGAGCACAATTGATTAGCATTGATCCAACCCCAAACAAATGATGAAACGCTGCTTAGCAAGCAAACCAATCAATCAAAATCAAACAGGGCCCTTATCAACAAAATTAATAAATAAATACGAGGAAGCTGCAAGTAGAATCAGATATAGATCACTCTAAAAACAATCAACGAGGCCGCAACACTGGACATGCACAGTACCCATCCAACAAACTCAAGTCTAAAGGATATATCACTGAGGCACCAACAGCAACCATCTGACTAGAATTTACATTTACTAATTACACCACGCTATATCAAACAGAAAATAACATCGAACAACCAGTGAGATAGGCAAAAGATTTTCAGCAACTGCTACATCAGACAGGGATAACTGCAAATCTGTTATGCCCCTCATTCACTGTAAGGCTTAAGCCCAGGTAAATACAACTTTAGCACGTGCAATATTAGAATGCTGCGAACACATGCACGACAATGTAGCGTCCAAAACAAAACTGATGGGCAAAATTTCATTTAAGCCAAATGGGTCACAATTAATGAAGAGATTCCCCCAGGCATGATTTAAGAACAAAGAATTCATAATATGAGCAAACAAATGGGGCAAACAATAGCCATAACACATTACTCAGAAATCATACTTTGCAAACCACAACACCACAAGATCCCCGAATAGTTTATTGAATCAGAAGTAATTTCAACTCATTGGTTTTATACGCAATAGTTCACCAATATTAGCGGCCCTTTCTTCTTCATGCGCACACAAACAAAACAGGTCAAACCATTCCATAATCACTATAAAGAAACAGAAATACCAGATTGCTTTCATAACTTGATTTAATTAACATAGCTACTCATCAGAGGTAACCTCCGGTGGGTGTTCCAAATGCCAACTTCAATATAGGATACTAGTTTTGATCTTCCTCTTTTGTACCAAGCAAATAATAATTTAACATTTAACAATACAACATAGAACAACCATATGTTAGCCCAAAAAATTACAAAGCTCGCGAGTAAAACATGATATAAACATTCTCTAGACTCTGGATTACCTAATAGTAACAGAATTCCTAATTGCCTGAAGATTTAGTTGCCTCCCATATCAAACTAGCCTCGTCCTTGACAAGCTCAACCCGTTTCACAAACAGCTCCAATTCTGCAATTTGCAGTTGCTTCCACCTCTCTTCTAACTCTGCCTTCTTGGATGCTCCAATCAGTTCATATCCCCTCTTAATAGCATTATCATCCAACCCTGACAGGCCCAGACTTTTGTTGAACCTAATCATTTCACTTAAACTCAGCCACGAACCTCCTTTCGGATCAATGTCAACCTTTCTAGCTTCTTTCGAGTCTGAAACCAGATCAGTCGCTGGCTTCTGAGAAGCGGCAACGCTGCTACCTTCCTTCATATTTTTCTTCACTTTCCCATTGGACTTTGTAATCTCTATTCCTCCATTGGCTCCTTCATCAGCCCAGATCTTCTTTGACAATTCAAAGACTTTCTTATCGTATGGTTTTGAAAAACTAGGGCCTTCCTCATTTTTTCCTCGTTGAGCATTCTTCACATACTTTCTCTTCAAAGTCCGAATCTTATTAGCTAATTGTTCATTTGAAACATCCACATGGACCGACTTCTTTATGAAATCGTGAAATCCATTAATATCCTTAAGCGCCGCTCCTCCTGTCTTCGCTGCATATTCCGCTAACCCCGTGAGGATCGCAATCTCATCATCCTCACTCCACAGTCTCTGGAAAAGTTTCTTGGACTCATCCCCAGCTTTTTTACCATCATCCTCTGCAGCCGGTATCTCATCGTTTCCGGCAGCATCCTTCCCCTTCTTCGCCTTTTTTGAGTCAGCAACCGGCCGATTGCTGTCACTCGGTCGCTTGTTCGCTGCCTTGGCCGGTGAAACGGATGACTGGGATTTCGACTTCTTGGCTTTAGCCGTCTCTTCTTTAGGCTTGGAGGCGATAGGCTTGACAATCAGATCCTTATTCTCACTGGGGCGCTCATCATCGGAGTCAGATCCGGCATCAGATTCTGTCTCAGATTCCGACACTGAACCTTTTGGTTGAGATTTTGCGATTGGAGCAGTAGGGGGAGGCTTTTTGGCAGTGGGCTTCTTTTCAGTAGAGGGGGGTTGTGTAAGTTTTGCAGGCTGATCGTCCTCTTCAGATGAAGAACCTACTTCGGACGAAGCTTCGTCTTCTTCTTCGGATGAAGAAGAGGCCGACGGTGGTTCGTCCAAAGGAGAGGCACGTTTCGGCGCCATCGAGGATTAGGGTTTCAGAAGCAAGGCTAAGCCTGCCTTTTGCTGCAGTTCACCCCGTCTTTCTGCCTCCTCAAAAGTTTCTTCTAGGCAAACTTTCGAGTTTAAGTCCAAATCTTACGAAGAATGCATTTAATAAATTATAAGAAATTTTTAACTCATTTATGTTTTTTAATAAATTAGTTAATAACTTTTAAAATTATGCATTTTTTTTTTTTAGCAGGTATACATTTTTCATATTTATTTTTATATAAATAGAGTGTCTTAATTAAAAAATCTTAGTAATTAAACTTCTCAATTAAAAGCATTTTTAGATAAATTTTACGATTAATTACACTTTAAAAGACAAAAAATGCCTTATATTCTTAATATGATTTTTAATTTTAATATGATACTTCAAAAAATGCCCTACAATTCTTTAACGAAGAGAGTAATAGTTTTTTGTTCCTTTTCAATAAAAGTGCGTTCAATCGTTGAATTTAACTAACAACCTATGAAATTTAACCACCTCGTATAAGTTCAAGAAAAACAGAGTCTTAATATGACAGATGTTTACCTAGGGCTAGGGCTTGTTAGTATTTGTGGTTGATAAGTGCTTATAAGCACTTTTACATAGGGGGTGTTTGAAACACCCCTTATCAGAGTGTTTGGATAGAAACCAAATTATAGTTTCAGAAGTGCTTTTACTGTTTAAGAAGTAAATATGTAGAGGAATTTGTTTTGTTTGTGGAAAAGTGCTTTTAAAACCATGGTTTGGAGGTTGTCAAACACCACTATAATCACTTTGCAAAAGCACTTTTATGCAAATCGAGACAAACCCCTTTATATATTTACTTCGTATACCGTGAAAACATTTCTGAAACCATAGTTTTGTTCTTACCTAAACACTCTCATAATTCAAGATAAAACTCTACTCATATGTTTATATTAAATTTCATAAGTCATGAAAAAATTATTTATAAGTCATCTCAAATAAGTTTTTAGAATTAAACCCCAAAGACCTAGTTGGTAAAATATGCAATATATATATTTTTTTTGCCAACAAAATAAACAGTACATCTAAATGTATATTTTTGCCTTAATAAATCATAAATATATGCTCAATATTTATGAAAGCATAAATAGTCATTCACAAGTCACAACACTATACAATGTGCTTAAAAGATGTCGAATTTAGAAGTCATGCCCAATAACTGGTTAATCATAAGTCGATTTTGTGCAGCAATCCTAAGAGTTAATATGAACTCACTAATTATTACCTTGAAATTTGATGTAATTATCTTGCAAAAACTTAACATGCATAAATCATACACGTCACATGCATCTAACCTATGTCTGATTTCTTATACTCCTATTAATCTGATGATGTATTTCACCTGCTAGGACATGATATAATGAATAAAGCACCCGAAAAAGCAATAAAATCCCAAAACGAAAAGAGTTCATAATGATAAGGAAGAGTAGGAGAAGTAAACAAAAGGAATGACCTGAACTCTAGCGGAAAAACTTCTCCCATGGAGTTCTTTCTTGTAAATGCTGCTTATGTTTCTATTAAACATCTACACGCTTCATTTCCCTTCACTTCAACGCATACCTCACTGACTTTAGAACTAAAATATGGCTTTCAACATCACAATGTCATTGAACTTTTATTTTTTGCAAAAGCATTGGCACTGACATCACTTTTGACGTAATACTAAGCAGACAAACCACTTCAATATCTTTTCTTGGTGGCCTGAGCAAATGGTTTCTTCTCTGTACTTTTTCTCATCACAGTTGGACAAATCTTGCGTCGGAAAGGTTCATTGCCAGCACAGAAATAAAGTTTCTTTCACACCACCACTGAACCATATATACAGGGGAAAATTAACTAAATAAAAGACAAGAGCTGTGATAACTGCAAGAAGTTTCCTTATTTAAGCAAGTTGATTCCGCCTTTATACCTAATCTTTTATATACTTTTATTTGACATGCATACGTACATAATATCTTTTACTAAAAGAAACCAAACAAGCCGTTCAATTTTTTATATCAACTTTCTTTTCTTCTTCTTGACGATCTAACATAGATGAGGCATCCCACTAAAGTCAAGATTCACCTACTCTGCCTGCACTCTTCTATATAACGTTGCAGAGCACCAGGATTCATCAGCCTAAGCGAGCAGAGTTCTCTTGACTAACAACTTTCACAAATATCATAGAAGGGAAATTTTATAGAAAGAGAAATACAAGGATGAAGGCGTCGCTTCTTGAGCAGCTTGTTATTGGATTTCCAATCATCTCCAACAGATATTTGCCTGATTCAGCAGGCCAATACAAGTTCAACAAAAGTTCGAATCAAAGTACGTTATCCTTCCCTTACAAAACTTGAGTGGTTAATCCTTTCTGCGATGTCTGGTCATCATCTAATTCTGAATACCTTCATGTTTCCAGGTAAAGCAAGTTCAGTTCTCGGTAGGATGAACAAGTTTGGGAGAAAAACTGACAGTTTTGCTCATGAAGTGAGAGAGCATGGTATGAAGTCTTAAATGACTTTCAGATAATCAGTTTGTGACTTTTGGTCGGAGGAAAATGCCTCTTTAACGCTTAAACCTTTTCTTATCCCTCCATTATACTTTATTGGCCTAAATAAATGAAGTCTAAATGATCTCTTAAAACTGCCATCTTCACTTGCAGTGAGACTGGGGCCAAAGACAACTGATACAGTGAAACGAAAGTTAAGGATGGGAGCTAGAATTCTTCAAGTTGGTGGAGTGGAGAAAATATTTATGCAAAAATTTAATTTCAAAGAAGGAGAGAAGTTGTTGAAAGCATCACAGTGCTATCTATCAACCACATCCGGTCCTGTAGCAGGACTCCTCTTCGTATCCACAGAAAAGGTGGCTTTTTGCAGTGACAGATCCATCAAGATCACATCCCCTGAGGGCCAAGTGATTGGAGTCCATTATAAGGTGATTCTCACAGACCTTAACTGTATCTTCACAAAACATCCCTGAATCTTGTATTGCCTTTTATAAATCTTTGCTAATATACAACTTAAAATCTATCTCTTATTTGCAGGTCTTGATTCCACTTTCGAAGATAAAGAGCGTCAACCAAAGTAAGAATGTGAAGAAGCCTTCACAAAAGTACCTAGAAATCCTTACCACGGACAACTTCGATTTCTGGTTTACGGGTCTCTTAAATTACCAGAAAACTTTCAAACATCTTCAGCATGTGGTTTCTCAATCTTAGAGGAAGATGAAGCAGAATTGTAATTCTTCAACCCTTATGCTTCATCAGTTATTATTTTGCGAAGCAACAAAGGTTCCATTATATGTTTTACCATTGTACAAAGTTTTGTTGATAGGAAAAAGCAACGTTGTTCTTCAAGTTCTTCTTCTTCTTTTTAATTAGTTATTTCAGTATCCTGAAAACTTCCACACTTCATAGAATTATAACATTCAAACTTTAAATAATGGCCTCATACCCAGGACTGACCATTTCTGTTAAAATCAGAATGGAATGGATATTCAAAATGTTATTGCATAGAGCAGCACGCTTCTTTAACAAGCTAATGGTTACCCTCAATAAAGGCCCTAAGCTACGGTACTTGAGAAACGCCACTAAAATAATCAAGAAAAGCTACACTAGATGAAGCCAGGAATGATGACAGCTCATGATAACATAAAGAAGCAAAAAACAAAAAAAACAAAAACAAGAAAAAGGGCATTTAACTCGCAGATTGATTCTACCTTCCTTTGTTACCATGCATAAATTGGTGGTGATGAGCACTGTGTAGGGTTTCTCATCCCCACTCCGCATAATCGAGCCTGCTATATTTTCTTTTTCATTTTCGAAGCCAGTTGGATTGGTGTTTAGGCTTAGAAATGGATGGATGGATGGTATCATTAAGCCTTAATAATTTTAAAAGAAATGAAAAACAATTCTCCCCCGTGCCTATCTCTGGATCCTGCTTCAATCTTGGCCATTCCATACAGCAAAACTTGGTATTTGGCTCTCTAAGGTGGATGGTGGTGATGCGGAAATGATCTGACAAATTTCGTTTCACAAAAAACCTTAAAGTATGTTACAACTTGCGGTGCCCACCACATGATGTCCATAGCCGCCTTTGATCTTAATTGCTGTCTCAGAATGTTTATTGTCACTGCCCTGTCAACTTCCTCACTTTTTATGGTATTGTCTCGTGAACCTTCAAAAGGTAATAATGCATCAATAGTCAATTGTGTTTTTCGGTATTCAAGAATATTCTCGGAATAACTTACACATTAATCAAGACCAAATCTCTGTCGAGCCGTCTTATGAACACATCCCACTTCGATTTGTTGCATTTGGCTTTAAATTCTTGTATATGATGATCAACCCTAATCCAAGAAGAACAGAAATGATGGCTTACCTTCATGAATTGACTACAACGAGTGTAGAAAAGAGAAGCAAATCCTATAAATACTCTCACTCTTGTTTCACTATCTTTCTGACTACATATGTGAATCTCAAGCAGAGGGAGGGGTTTTCTGTGATGACACTTCACCGTTGCTTTTGTTACTAGGCCTTCAACATATACCTAAGTGATCTCTCAAATAAAAAAGGACCTTCAACTAAATATTCCTCAACTATGATAATTAATACCCGAGGATAAGTATAGACAATGATAAGGAACATTTGAATTACCCACCTAAGCATTTTGATACTGAATTCTCAAATCTGACAGTAACTGTACATTTAAATAGTAATCGTGGGTGATATAAGCAAATGGCCTTTTCTCCTTACTTTTTCTTATCTTATCACAAGTAAACATATCTCATCAGAAAGGTGTATTTCCAGCACAGAAAGCTTCAATGACGCCACTGCAGAAGCATACGCAAGTGGGAAAAAAGCAGAAGACAAGTGGTATTTATGGCACCAAGGTGTTTCCTCATTTGAGCATGTTAATTCCACCATTGCTAATTTCTGGTATGCTTTTATTAAAGATAACATGGATTCATAGATAAAATGTCTTTTAACATTTATTTTTACCAAGTTGTTCTCTTTTATTCTGCTTCATGATCCACAAATGAGTCATCAAACATAAAGTCAAGGTTCACCATGTCTCCTTTTATTCATTTATATATATATGGATTCGCAGAACACAAGGATTCATCAAATAGGTTGAGGAAATCTCTCTTGAATAACATCTTCCAGAAAGATCACGGAGGGGAAACTTTAGAAAGATTACTCGAAATGAAGGCTTCACTTCTCCAGCAGGTAGGTATTGGGGTTCCAATCACCTCAAACAAATACTCACTTGAGTCAGCTGGCCAATGCAACAAGGTTAACAGAAGTTCAAATCAAGGTAGGTCATTTTTCCCTGGCAAAAATTGATTGATTAATATGTTTGATCATCTTTTAATATTAAATATCATCATGCTTGCAGGCGAAGCAGGTCCAGTTCTAAGTAGGTTGAACAAGTTTGAAAGAAAGGCTGGCAATTTTGCACAGGAAGCTCAGGACCATGGTATGAAGTCTTGAACGACTTCTAGATTTTCAGCATGTAAATTCTTATCAGTGACAAGATGAGGTCATCATAGTCCTAAAATAATTTTGCAGAATGCATAATTTTACACTTTTGGAACATAAAATGAAGTTCCAATTGATGATTTAAAACCTTTTTAACTTGCAGTTAGACTGAGGCCAAAGATAACTGACACAGTGAAAGGAAAGTTGAGCTTGGGAGCTAGAATTCTTCAAGTCGGTGGAGTGACGAAAATCTTTGAACAATTGTTTGGCATCAAAGATGAAGAGAAGTTATTGAAAGCGTCACAGTGCTATCTATCAACCACATCGGGTCCTATAGCAGGACTCCTTTTCATATCCACAGGAAAGGTTGCTTTTTGCAGTGACAGATCCATTAAGATCGCATCCCCTAAAGGAGAACCAGTTAGAGTCCACTATAAGGTTATTCTCTCGTAGCTTTACACAAAACATCTCTATATTTCTTTCATCATTCTTTGCTAATAGAAATCTTCAAACCTATCTCTCATTTGCAGGTCGTGATTCCACTTGAAAAGATAAAATGTGTCAACCAAAGTAAAAATGTGAGGAAGCCTTCGCAAAAGTATATAGAAATAGATACTGTGGACAACTTCGATTTCTGGTTCATGGGTTTCTTGAATTATCGGCGAGCTTTCAAATATCTTCAGCTTGCTGTCTCTCAATCCTAGAGGATGAGAAAGCAGAAGAGTGATTCTTCATCCCTAATGCTTCACTAGTTATTATTTTTTGAAGCAACAAAGGGAAAAATACATGTCCAAAAATTGTACATAGTTATGTTCATCAGAAAAATAAACTTTGTTCTTCATGTTGTGGTTTTTGTTTCAATGACATAATATTACTTTTCTGAATTCTAGCATTCAAACCATACAATTTGCAAATTTTATACCATAAATATTGGATCATTTGACATCGGCCGTTTCCTGTAAAATCTGAAAGGAGTGGATCTTCAAAATTTTACTAGATAGACCCACGGCCAATTTGGTTGATTTATCTCTTCTATTCTTTGTTCCCACCAGTAACATTACCAGTGTTTCTCCCACATTGCATCCCATTAAAATCAGTTACAATCAAACATATGGACCTTAATATTTTTTACATATATATTACTCTCAATTACATAGAAAATTAAGATGTCCGAGACCACAAATGTATAGGCTTCCTTATCATGCTATGCTTATCCTCCTCAATGATTTCCTTTGTCACAGGTCTTAATTAATGAAACAGTCAAGTGAAATCAAGAAAGAAGCCATTTCAGAATTTAAATTAACAAAACAAGGAATATGAAAGTACATAACTGGCATAAGGATTCTAGCCTCATTTACAACGGCACATAAGCTGCTGGGTGAAAAGAGCAAGGTGTGGCTTTCCTCGTTGCCACTGCCCTGACCTTCATTGCCTACTACGCATGCATTTTTCCTGATAAAATCGCACTATACTTTGATATTTCAAGGATAAAAAGTTCCGGTTTGAATCTATGAGAGTAATCATTCATTATCAATCATCTCATATTCACATAAATGAGCTAGATTTTTTCTTTTCCATGGCTAGTTGCCAATTATATTTTTAATCCTGATAGAAAATAGCTCAAAATTTGGTTAAACAATGCTAATTCTCCCAATCATATTGAGTTTTATCTTGACTGCTCCATGACCTTGGTTAATTAATATTACAAATTACGCCACATTGAAAAGGAAACTATATCTTTTAATTATTCTTTCTCGTATATAAATTTGAGAGGGCAAACATTAGACTTCGATTTTCCCCCCTTTTTATGCATGCTAGCCGCTACGTTTATTCGTAGTCCTCATGAAAAATAAACTCAAAGCATAGCTGAACAATGCTAGTAGTCTCATTACTTCTCCATGAACTTGGTTGACTAACATTAGAAATTGTGCCATCTCTGAAAATAAACCTTTTCTGTTAGTTATATTAACTGTTATGTAATTTTGAAGCATACACAAAAAGGAAAGAGAGGGACATCATTAGAATATTTTCCCACTGGAAGCCAGACTTTCATATGGATAAGATAATTTGAATTTAAACTTCACTTTTCAAAAATATTGAGACCCGTCTCTGTCTTTGGACCTCGCTGTAATCTTCTTTTGAAATCTTGGACATTCCATATTGCACAACTTGGTAGTTGGTATACATTGGATGATGGGGATCATGTAGGAATGATAAAATATGTCTCGCCTTACTGCTTCTAAAACATTAAAGCATGTCTCACCTTATTGACCCACCACATGATGTCTACAGCCGTCCTTTGAACCTGATTGCTGGCTCAAAAAGTTTGTGTTTACAGCCCTGTCAGCTTCCTGACTTTATGATCTGGCATTTTGACCTATCAAAGAACATCAATGAAATTCAACAACTGCTTCTTTTGTTTCTATTAATGAAACTTCCAGAATATTCACTTCCTTCCTTAGATTTTCCATATTAAAATGATCTCACGAATAAATATGGACCTTCATTGGAATTTTATTTATGACAGGATTAAAAGTACATAGGCGACAAGTATATACTATGGACAAGGTTGTGCAACTTTTCTATCATTTAAATTTGTCGGTAGGATAACATGAAAGGCCCAGCAGAATCTTTTGCTGGATTTACTACGTTATCTTTGCCTTTAACATGCTATTTTGATCAATGTAAATGCCCTTGTCTTTTTTTTACTTCCTCATGACCCTGGGTGAACATCACAAACATTTATCTCTTGGAAAAGAAACTGTCTCTGTTAGTTCTCTTTGCTGATATGTAACTTTACATGGATAGGGAAGAGAGGGTGAATATTAGACTTATTTTGTCCCTTATGGTTATACATGATAAGGATCACCTCGAATTACAGTTAGCTACCGTAATTGTAGCTGTGATTTTATTGTTTGAGTGAACTTCCTATTTCATAGTCATATCAAGCTTACTGTGATTGCCGCTGTAATAGCTCGATTTTTACCCCATTTTCTAGAAAATACTGTCAAAACTCCTCTCGGATTTTACTGTCAACTTCTTATGTTTCTATCAGAACTCAGAAATTCAGAAGCTTGATTTATGGGAAAATATAAAAAATGACAACCATCTTGATAGTGAATTCACATCGATGTTGCTGGCATACATGGAAGTTAACTGTGTTGACTGAAAATTATGTATATACTAAAATTAACTGCTTGGCCATGGTAAAACAAAAAATAGAAGTAGGCAGAGAAGGTAAGATCTCAGTTGTAAACGGTCTTTCACTTTTTCCGTCTGGTTTCCTTATCATATCGCGAGAGAGCTTGGGAGAGGCATGGCATCAGAAAGTTAACGTGCCACCTCATGAAGTTTAAATAACATGTTCACATGAGCAGCATGTGAAGAAGCAAGTGGCATTAGACGTCATCTTTTGTCAACCAAATACATTATTCTAATGTATTTGAAACAGAATACTTTTTCCAAAACACTTTCTATAGAAGGTGCTTCTCCCTGTAGGACTGTCTTTTTTAGTCTTTATATAAAATTTCTTATGTTAAGCAAGTTAACAAATGACCCAAAATCTCGCTCTCCCCCTCTCCCTCTGGACCTTTGCAGCAATCTTGGACATTCCATGCTGCAAAACTTGGAAGTTGGTATGCAGAGGAGGATGGGAGTGATATAGGAATGATTCGGCATTCCCTTTTCCTCAAACAAATCTTTTCAAATCTTGGCCATTCCACACTGTCAGAACTTGGTATCCGTGTGGGGCATGGTGATGATGAGAGAATGATTTGGCAAATTTTCTTTTAAAGTATAGCCTCCCTTTATTGTCCCTACCACATGACTTCCAATCTTCCATAGCCAGCCTTTAAGTCTTGCTTACTGACTCCAAAACTTTCTGTGTCAGCTTACTCGCTTTATGATATAGCCCCTCTTTAAGGCGTCAAAAAGCGCCAATGACTTTCATGAACCGCTGCATGAGTTTCTGTAAACAAAGATTCAAGAAATCCAGACAATTCATTTTCCTTCTTAGATTTTTAATTCCATAATGACATTTCAAATAAAATATGGCCTTTAACTATTACTCAACTGTCACAGTTTAGGCTTAAAATATATGAAACACAAGTGCAGACAATGCTGAGGCAATTTTTTACCATTACATACGTACCTTGGAAATACCAAAGTCACAGCAGAATCTTTTTCTACATTTACAACTTAATCAAAACTTTTAGCATGTGCGTAGAAATATGACCTTTCCTCTCTACTTTTTCATTCTCTTACAAGTAAACTCATAAATCTGGAGCGAAAAAAAAAAACTTGAAAAAGGAAAGAAAGTAACTCACAGAATTCGTATCATATAGGGACATTGCCAGCTTACAGTGCTTCAATGACATAACCACAGAAGCACATGGTTATACATAAACAGAAATACATATACTTATCATTATGTGGTGTTTATGGCACCTTTAAGTTTCCCTATCTTAGTCAATTCATCCCCCCTCATCTGGATACTTTTTATTGAACATGACATGAACCTTTAATGAATGTCTTATGGCTAAAGGAAAAAGCCAAGCTATTCAAACTTCTATTAACTTGATGTCTTTTGGTCTCCTTGATGAGCCACGGATGACTCATCCAACCAAAAGGCAAGCTTAATCTTCTTCCCTTGCTTTCTTATATATATGCTTCTGCGAAATACAAGGATTCAACCAACGCAAGAAAAGCTCACCTGAATACTTTTCAGAACCTGGTGGTTTCTCAGCAATACATTTTCAAATAAGAAAAACATTAGCAATGAAGGCCTCGCTTCGTCAGAATACAGTTATTGGAATTCCAATCTCAGTGGCATGCGAAGTTGGCAAGTCATCAAACAGGTACCTTCTCGAATCTGCGAGCCAATACAACAAGTCTACAGAATCTTCAGATCAGAGTAGGGCACTCTTTCTTTAACAAACTTGATTAATTAATTCTCTTGTAAAGTTTAATATCATATTAATTCCAACCATTTTGACTTATCCAGGCAACGCAAATTCAGTTCTTGGTAGGGTGAACAAGTTCGGGAGAAATGCTGACAGTTTTGCTCATGAGGTTCAAGAGCATGGTAAGACGTCTTTGAGTAACTATACAGTGTTTTATTTTCTTTTTTGTTGGGGACAAAGAGTAACTTTACAGTTTCAATTACTTTTGTCCTGCCCACCATGATTCATATGCCTACATCAACTTAACACCGTGCATTTAACTTGCAGTTAGATTGAGGCCAAAGATAGCTGATACAGTAAAAGGGAAGTTAAGCTTGGGAGTCCGAGTTCTCAAGGTTGGTGGATTCAAGAAAATCTTTATGCAGTTGTTTGGATTCACAGAAGGAGAGAAGTTGCTGAAAGCATCACAGTGCTACTTATCAACAACGTCTGGTCCTATAGCAGGACTCCTCTTCATATCCACGGAGAAGGTTGCTTTTTGCAGTGACAGATCCATAAAGATCACATCACCTAAAGGAGAAATCATGAGAGTCCATTATAAGGTAATTTTCACAAATTTTATAGGAACATAAACAATATCCCTCTTTTTTTGTGTTATCTCATCATGCTTTGCTAATATAAACCTTCAAATCTATCTCTCATCTGCAGGTCATGATTCCACTTGAAAAGATAGAGTGTGTATGCCAAAGTAACAATGTGAAGAAGCCGTCACAAAAGTACATTGACATAGTTACTGTGGACAACTTTGATTTCTGGTTTATGGGTTTCTTAAATTATCAGAAAACTTTCAAATACCTTCAGCATGCTATCTCTCAATCTTAGAGGAAGAGAAAGTTGAAGCATTGATGTTCAATACCATGCTTCATCAGTTATTCTTTTCTATAGAAACAAAGAGCACATACGTGTTCCAATAGGGTACATAATTTCATTGATAAGAAAATGCCACTTTAGCCATGTCGGGCTGAAAAATCAGGTTGTAGAAGCAGGGTGGAGTGTAAGTAGCGAGTAGGGTTTTAGCCTCTCTGGATGTAAATAAAAAAGTTACGTTGATGTTCAGCCTTTGGTTCTTTCTTTCTTTCCTTTTTTTTTTTTTTTCTAAACCACTATTATGTGATATCAATTTCTTGAAGTCTTGCGATGAAAATTCGTATAACTACCAGCTTTCGTATTATATCTGACGGCTTCATCCACATTGGAAATTTTGGTTAAATCTGAATGAGACGGATATTGACAAACATTAAATGCTACCTTATCATCCTAATGGTTATCTACCTGAGGCCCCAAAATCATGGTTTCTAAAGCACTGTTTACCTTTACCTGAATAATCACGAGAAGTCACACCAAATGAAATAAAGCATGAAGCCAAGTTCACCAATAAAAAAAGACATTTTATTAGAAGCTAAATAAATTTAATAGTAGTCTCATTCACAACACTGCATATGCTGCTGTGCCTGTGGGATTGACACTCTGTCCTGAAAGTTACGCTTAAACATGGATAGGATCATTGAGCCATGGAACCTTTTTTTTGTGTGTGTGTGTCTGTAAATGAACATTTTACCCTTTCTCTTTCTTTGGACCTTGAAATCTTGTCTTCAAATCTTGGGCATAAACCAAGAAGTCTGTTAAAAGAAAATCAATACTGCCGGGAAAAAAAAAAAATGTATTCCTCACTTTACTTTGTTGGAGAGAAGCTTTCGCAGAACTGGACTCAAGACGATCTGTACTACTAAGTGTGAACATCAAATATGTTTGTAACAAGCTCGGAGAAGGACCATACAAGACATGCTCCAGTTAAGAAATACCATCTCATCTATCTTAACACCCTCTCATTTTAATTGACTTATGAGTTACATTATTTCTAACAGTTAGTTTCATTGTTAAACACTGTTTTTCCAATGGTATAAACAAACGAAGGCACAATGACAATTGCACCTTAATATTTCTTTTCTGAAATCTTGGATCTTCTATGCTATGAAACTTGTTAGTTGGTGTGCACATATGTGTGTGTTGGAGGATGGAGTGTTATGGTATTAAATAGGTATTCCCTTCTCTTCAAACTTGAAGTATGTCTCACCATACTCTTCCAATTACTTCTTTTGAAATCTGGGACATTCTACACTAAAAAGTTGCTTCACATGTGGGACATGGGGATGATGAAAGAATGATTTGGCAAATTTCTCTTTTCACAGAACGTTAAATTATGTCTCACCATGTGATGTCCATAGCCAGCCCCTGATCTCAATAGCTGATTCAAAAAGTTCATGTTCATAGCCCTCTCAGCTTCTTCACTTTAGGATATAGTCTCCTAACCCATCCACAAACACTAGTGACTCTCTTTAGCTACTGCACGTGTTTATTCTATCAATAAAGATTCAAAGATTCCGGAATATTCCTTTTCTTCCTTAGATTTTACGCAAGACAATGATCTCAAAGATAAAATATTGACCTTGAATTAAATATTCTTCAGTTATTGCAGTTATAACTTCTAATTTATGGATGACAACTATAGACAATAATAAAGATAATGAAAAGAAAGGGAAACAAGGCAAAAAGAAAAGCCCGTAGCAGAATCTGTCTCAAGATTTACTACTTCCTCTATAGCTTTAACAAATGCTACAAGTCACCTTTTTTCTTTACCTTTTTCTGAGCTTATCATAAGTAGCATAAAAAGAAAAATGATAAGCGCAAGTAAACTTAAAAGAATTCTCACATCAGAATTGCACATACTCCTACTCAGAAAAATTCAATCACATCACCAAGGAAGCGTTCCTGTATGTGTTGGAAAATAAAGTGAAAACACGGTGGCCGTGGATCATCTTTGTTGTCAAGAATTTGGTGTTGATGATGCCGAGAAGGTTCCTTATCTAAGCATTTGATTCAACATCGAACTGATCTTCTGTATGCTTTGTTAAAGATGACATGTCTTTTGCCAAAAGCAACCAACCAAGCCATTTTAACTTTTCACAAACTTTATTCAAAGTTCTTGATGATCTAGAGATGAGTCATCTGACAAAAAGACAAGTTCCCCCTTCTTTCCTTGAATTCTTATATATGTCTATCACAACAGAAGTATTCATCAACCAAAGTGAGAAAACCTCTCCTCAATCCTTTTCAGAAGCTAGTTGTTGCTCTGTAATATCTTCCTGGGAGAAAAATAGCAGAAATGAAGGCCTCACTTATTCAGGATCTAGTTATGAGAATTCCATTCGCTTCAGCAACTTCCCAAGTTGGGAAGTCATCAATTAGATACTTGCCTGATTCTTCTGGCCAATACAAGAAGTCTTCTCAAATTTCAAAACAGAGTAGGACATCCTTTCAATGCAGACTTGATTTATTAGTTTTCTTTTGAAATTTGAAATGATACTAATCTAAATCTTAACCATCTTGATTTTTCCAGGCAAAGCAAACTCGGTTTTTGGTAGGATGAACAAGTTTGGGAGAAAGGCTGACAGTTTTGCACATGAAGTCCGTGAACATGGTACATACTATTTAAACACTTTTAAATTTTCTCTAATTCAAATATCTTATGTTCAAATCTCTATGTCATTTAACAGATGTCCTAAAACTGTTATTTGAACATGCAGTGAGACTGGGACCAAAGATAACTGATACAGTGAAAGGAAAGTTAAGTCTAGGAGCTAGAATTCTTCAGGTTGGTGGAGTGGAGAAAATCTTTATGCGATTTTTTAGTGTTAAAGAAGAAGAGAAGCTGCTAAAAGCGTCACAGTGCTATCTATCAACGACATCTGGTCCTATAGCAGGACTTCTCTTCATATCCACAGAAAAGGTTGCTTTTTGCAGTGAAAAATCCATTAAGCTCACATCACCTGAAGGAGATGTGATAAGAGTCCACTATAAGGTAATTCTTGCAAACCTTAACAATACATAAAGCCTCTCTGAATCTTGTTTTTCATCGAGCTTTTCTAATATAATTGAACTTTCTCATTTTCAGGTCTCGGTTCCTCTTGGAAAGATAAAGAGTGTCAACCAAAGTAAGAATGTGAAGAAGCCTTCCCAAAAATACTTAGAAATTGTTACCATGGACAACTTTGATTTCTGGTTTATGGGTTTCTTAAATTTCCAGAAAACCTTCAAATACCTGCAGCATGCAGTCTCGAGATGTTAGAGGAGGAGAAAGTTCATGTGTAATTGATCAGATATTTTTGTAATGCATCAATGGGACTAATATATGTCCAGATGTTGTACATAATTTTGTTGATAAGAAAAAGTTGCTTTGTCCTTCAAGTTTCGGTTCTTTTATTTATTCATGCTTTTGTATCAACATCCTAAATTCTTGCATCCCAATTTAAGACTATTTCTAGCCTTCAAACTTCAAAATATTGAATTAATCAGACACAGACCGTTTCTGTTAAAATCTAAACGGAATGTCATTAAAGTACGCAAGCATTTTATCGGTAAGGTTTTCATAAATACTTGAACAAATAGGAGCAACACTATTAAATATTACCTTTAATCCTAACTATAAGACCTCGTTTGTAGACTATAAATGAAATCTTATAATTAGGACTGGAGATACTACCATATTAAATGGAATATGCTCACGCTTAGTATGAAATCTGAGATGTGATTCACTACACTATTCAAGACTTGTGAATAGTGCAACGGTCTATAAGATTTGGAAACTTTATAGACATGCGAATTAATATTACATCACATATTTTCACTAATGCATATTACTTGTATATCAATGCTCTTTGTTTCTATGGCAGGTAAATATTGAATAATAATTCTTCTTCCGTTTATTTTATTTTATTTTTTTTCTCTTCGGTCTTCCTCAATACTTCAATGCTTCTCTCAATATCTAATTTGGTAGCTCAATCTAAGTAAGAGATAAATTATCCCCATTATCAAGAAATCAAGGGAAAATTAAGAATTCCCTATCCTCTCGAACTAGACCAAGATAGCTAATGGGAAATTGGTAGTAGTTCTTTGGCCTATTTTTATTTGAGATGAGCCGTTAATTAATGTACGTTCATTGAAGTGATTCACCTTGGAGTAACAAAAACTTATTGTAAGGAACAGTTAAAGAAGTTGGGATTCAAATATACGTAAGGTGTGAAATTTATGCTAAAGAAAGCTGTCTAAATGAGATATGACCTTTTTCTCAAACCAATGCTTGATGAGTAGTATTGAGGGGAAAAAATAGGGAGAGAAATCATTTCATCTACATCATCCTATTTCAACTTAGATCTTGTGGAGCAATTACTAAAAGTCGACATTACCTAATTGAAAAAATTAATCATTCGCCTTTAAGATTTTTGATGCTCTTCCATGACATGATTTGAATATCATATATAAGGACTCTCTCTCGGAAATGAAACCATCTTTTTTAGTGATCTCCGCTGACGTGTAACTTTGCCTAATAGGAAAGAGAGGGCAAGCATTTAGACTCAAATAGTTTCCCACCGGAAAAAAAAAAGAAAAAAGAAAAGAAAGAGAGAAAAAAGTTATGCTTATGATTGACTAAGATCATTGAACCTTTAGTTATAATCTCTCTCTCTCTCTCTCTTTTTCTCATTCTCTCTTCGCAGACCTTGTGATGTTGCTTTGCAATCTTGGACATTCACTCTCCATATTAAAAGAATCTTCTTAGAGCATTGGCACACATTATTTGGTCATGTGGCTGATGTGGGAATGACTTGGCTGTTACTTTTCCTCGAAAATAAAGAATACATGTCTCAACTCTTTCTTTCCTCACATGGTATCCATACATCCCTGACTCACCTATTTCCTCACACAGTATGGCGAATGAAGTCAATTTTGGTCGAAAGCTTGAAAACCTTAAAAAATATAAACGTAGATCATGGAAAGCGTATAATGAAAGGCTAAAAGAAGACACAAAAAAAGGATTCATGTCAGAAGTTACAATATCTAAGTATTATTGTTTGGCATGTCATGTGACGTGATTCAGTTTGATGTAACACTTTTTTCTGCCCTCTTTCACTTGTTTTTCTTAGCACAAAGGAAGCTTCAAAGTTATCTGGCATCAGAAAGCTAAAATGCCAGCTCCCAAAGCTTCATAAACTTCGTCTAGTAGGAAATCTAGGACATCAGAGAAATCTTGATGCCTCATTTTTGCCAGCCTACCATATTATTTTAAGGGATTTCACCTACCACCGTCTCGGGACACATTTTTCCTTTCTATTAAGGTACTGCTTCTAAAGTACTGTCTTTTTTAACTTCATGTTGTTTATACGAAGAACTGCCTTGCAGGCTAAGAATTTACCACATTTAGCTAGTGGTAGTTATATTCCTTATTTAAACATCTTAAATCTACATATCTTAGATATGATGACATGGATCTGACATTTTCTAAAAGAGACCAAACAAGCCATCTTCAACGAATGAGTAGTTATATTCCTTTTATTCTTCATGATGATCTAAAGGTGACTCATCCAAAATATAAGTCAACATTCTCTCTCATTCTCCTTCCTTTCATTGCATTCCTTTATAAGCCTCTTGAGAACGCAAGGATCGATCAACCCAAGTAAGAAACTCTCCATTGATATTTCATTACAGATAGCAGCAGAATCAGTGAAGATAAAATGTTAAACATGAAGGCATCAATTCTTCAACATTTAGCTTTTGGAGGTTCAATCACTTCAGCGACATGCCAGCTTGGGAAGTCATCAAACAGATACTTGCCTGGTCCTGCTACTACCACAAGTTCAAAGCAAAGTAAGACATCCCATGTTTGATCATTCGTTCATCAGAAAAATACAACAAGAAAAACAAAAACGTAAAACCTCATCTGATCAATGCTTGTCTGATCTTATTCTCATCAGGTAAAGTGAATTCAGTTATTTCTAAGATGAACAATCTTGGCAGAAAAGCAGACAGTTTTGCAAATGGAGTCAGAGAGCATGGTATGTACTATGTATTCTGCACGAACCCATTCGAACTATGCATACAATGAAGTTCTAAATTGACTGCTAACTGATGTTATGATATCATATATATGCAGTGAGAGTGGGGCCAAAGATGAGTGACACAGTAAAAGGGAAACTAAGATTAGGATCTAAAATTCTCAAAGTTGGCGGAGTTGAGAAAGTGTTCACTGAAATGCTTAGTGTTACAGATGGAGAGAGGCTGTTGAATGCATCACAGTGCTATCTATCAACCACGTCTGGGCCAATAGCAGGCCTCCTCTTCATTTCGACTCATAAAGTTGCCTTCTGCAGTGACAGATCCATCAAGGTCTCTTCTCCAACAGGAACAGGAACACTCACAAGAATCCATTACAAGGTAGCTCACAAAGCGTATATCTGTTCTCTTGAGGCTTTGCTTAACGTATCTGGAAATGAGTAATTTTGGGTCTTTTTGGCAGGTGTTGATTCCGCTTGAAAACATCAAGTGTGTCAACAAAAGTGAAAATGCGAAGAATCCTTCGCAGAAGTACATGGAAATAGTAACAGTGGATAGCTTTGATTTTTGGTTCATGGGTTTCTTCAACTATCAGAAAGCTTTTAAATATCTTCAGCGAGCTCTCTCGTCAGCTTAGAGGAAGCCTGGAAGATTGTACATAATTTTTTCTTTCTTTCTTGAGATGAGATTGTGCTTCAATCTCAAATTCCTTTTACTTGTTTCTTCTCAGGCTCCTTTGGTACAAAATAGAAATAAGAAATGACAATGGAAAACCTTTCATATAAACAAGGGAAGGTCTCTTTTACTTCTTTCTCTCTCTTGTTTCCTGTCTTTAAATCCATTTTCCAAATGCCAAATGCAGCCAAAAGTCATAAAGTATATTCTCAGTAACTTCTCATGTTGAATTCCTATGTAGCCTCACTCTACTCATCAGATATTTTTTTCTTGAACTTTTCGAATAAGGAAAAACTAATAATGTAATACCAATTTTGTATGGGAAGAGCTATATTAACAAAAGCTTACTCCCCATCCCCAGTTAAAATTTGATGGGACCCAAATCTTAGCAGATAATACCAAATACAAAAATTTTGTTCAGAAACAAATAGAGGTTTGCTGAGAGCTTTACTATAGGAAGGTAGAAAGAAGTAATGCAATGAATGTTGGCCATCAATTTGGCAACCTTTCATGCGTAACGAAGCTGTTATTTATAGATTTGTAGAGCTTTTAGCCATTAAATATAAAAACTAGTTACTCTTCTAATCCTAAATATAAGACATATTTAATTTGTATAAATTATACAATAAAATGGGTCTTATATTTAAAATTGAAGAATATTACTTTAAGATGCGAACAATTGAAGTACCACATTCAATGCTTATCTGATAAGGTTGGTCGAATTGGAAGCGAATTTACTCGGCCTGTGTAATTCAAATAGGAATGAAGTATAGGTTGAATTGTCCGTCGTCCAAACCTAGATGATGTTGGAATTAAAATTGGCAAGAGAGCAATCTAAGGGTGTTTGAACAGAGTTGGTCGAATTTAGCTGCACTCATATTGGAATCCAAATCGGATAGAGAGTACCATAACTAAATGAGTTGGCCTGCTTGTGAAGCCAATTCGAATAAGTAGTTATTAGGGTGCATATTTCTAAAGACTTGTTTGTATTGGAATCGAAATTAGACAGGAGCAATACCAAGAAAGTTGTAGGTTTCATAATGAATTGCGGAAAAGAAAATGTTTGATGTCGTTTTGGAAGAGTACCAATTCGACCAATAATTGTAGTTTGATAGTAACTCTGCAGCTTCGCTATGATTACTTGTATTCCTTGTGCTGATGCAAAATGTCGGGGGAATTAAACGTTAGTGGTCTTTTCCTTTTGGGCTGAAATCCTCCATCACGTTTTTAATATCAATTTATACTTCTGTAACAGGCACAAGAAAACTCATGCTAAAGAGGTCGCACAAATTCAACGCATTCTGAATTCCGAAATTAATAAATAAGCAAATGCATAAATACCCTCGGTACACTGACCTTACTACCCAATCGCTTCTTTTTCTTAATACGGCCACACTCCACAGAAACGATGATGGAGGGTGACACATATTGCAAAATATAAGCAATATTGCGGATTATCTCGCGAATATAAACTATATCCAATAGAGTGAATGAGGACAGCCCTATCACACGTTGAGGTCGACAATGCAGATGAATAGTTTGGACGACATATGAATGAGGCATTAAGCGTTATTATTACACTCAAACATGCTCCTGAATGCCCATAAACCGTAAATAGTTGTAGCATCTCTAAGATTTAAATTACAAAAAATAAAAAACTCAAGCCAAGGCCTTTTCAAAATTTTTGGTCCAAGTGAAGTCTACCGTACAACAAATCCAGAGAGCCAGAGACGGCAAACCAATCAGTTGTGAGCGCATTCTGCTTTCAGGCGAATGTCCCGAGTCACATAAAATGCTTGACCTGCAACCACCTGCATTCACCACAAAAAGCTTATTCGATAAATAAAATTTTCAACTTTAATGCACATTAAAAGACGGTCGAGTGCATGCATTGCCTACTGATCGATAATGTATCAATGCCTAACGGTCTAACCAATAAAAAGCTAGTTCCAATCCATGCAAAATGCTTCATGAGGAAATATTAACCTGATTCCATAAATAGTAGAGATAATGATACATTAGTTTCAAGTATAAATCTAAATATTAGGCTTGTGGTTTGATCCGTAGCTGATTAGTACAAGCTGATACTCAAGGAGGTTGGACTGCAAGCAGCTGCAGCTTCACTCGTTACTAAATATAGATGCCGGAATCTTAATAACGGAAAAAAAAAGATAAAACTTCAGAAACGACAGGATTGAACAGCTGGATCATGTTTAGCAAACTACCTATGACCTATAAGGTTAAGACCAACAAGGTTAAGATCCTGGAACATATCAAGAAACAAGAAAAACCCTGAACCGATAGTTATAACTTCAAGTTTACATCGTTTTACATATAGCTTTTATGTCTAAACCTTCATAACTGTACAAATAATAAGAAAGAAACAGGACTAAGACAAATCATCCACAAAGTGTATGATATAAATAATGTGAAAAGAATAAGAAAGAATAATTGAATCTGAAGGCCTCGTGAATTAACACCAAACTTTGTGGTACAAGTTCAACTTATTAGGAATAAGACACCGAACAATAAAAGTGCAAACATTATCAAAGTTTCCATCAACACAAGAAGTTCAACTAACTTGCAAAGGAAGGCTAAACACTGTGATCCAGAGAATCAAGGTTGACTTGAACACGCAATCACATTACACGAGTGTGTGTGGCTGTGGATTTTTTTTTTTTTTTTGGGGGGGGGGGGGTGGTCATTAACCTTGGTTTCAGATAAAAAGGAACTTCACTTACTTACTATTTAAGCTTGACCACCAATCTGCTTATCTTCCACATCATTAGTTGTAGTAGTCGCCTCCCCACCATCACCACCCTCCGTTGGAGGTTGAACTTGTTCCTCCTCAGGCAGTGGCTCCTCCACATAGTCATTCTCAAATGCATCCACTGGAACCTCATAGATCCTAACCTGGGGCTTAGATGGATCCTTCACTAAAACATACTTCCCCTCATTCAATTTCATGCACAAGTCCACAATAGACTTCACAATTCCCCACATATTAGACGTGTTCAAATTAATTTGAGTCGCAAAATCTCTGGGTTTATAACCATTTACAGCCAAAATCACATGATTGAAATGATCACGAGGATGAACCCTAGAAACGTAACCCAACTTCATCATATCTGCACTTGCCAACAGAGCTTGGGCAGTCCATTTAGCCAACTTATTTGCGTTATTCTTCAACTCCGTAGCCAAGACAGCACCCCTTTGTGTCTCCAACTTTTGTCTCCATTCAACGCCAGAATATTTGGGATCAAATTCATTCAATGCATTCAAAGTAAGGAAGGACCTCTGATTGTTCATATCAACAACACTCTGAACTTCACACCTCGCAACGAGATACATATCATCATCAAGCTTCCACCTCCTATACCTATATGCCACCGAAGCAACCTCCTCACCGTCATTTGCAAAAGGATTAGGCTCATCAAAAGCCACCTTATTCCCATCTCTAATTAAAACTTGTTGCGAGAAATTCTGATTAATATACGCTGCCTCGACACTCAATGAATGGGCCGAGTTAATATCCTCCTTAGCCTCAGGCAACGGCTCCTGCGAGGTCTCGTGGACGGACAGCAAATCCAACTGTGACCCATCCCTCTTGTCAAAAAACAACTTGTTCCCAACACGCTGAATAACAATATCCCATGAGTAGACAGACCTGGGCGCACACATGAGAGATGAAAGAATAGTATCGGTGGCGAAAACTGTCGCTTTGTCCTCGTTAGCAAGCCTTCGGATCACTGGGTCGTCAGTGGTAGTGACTTTGAAAAAGTTCCTATTCTTAAACCTCTCGAGACGACGTTCGTTCTTGGGAGTAATTCTATCATAAGACCTGTCATAATACTCAAGGCCCCCACAGAGAAGAAGGTCTTCGGGTTCAGGAACAGCGAATGAAAGCTTTGAAAAAGTTGAAAATGGTATCTGGTCCAGCATGTTCCACTCAGGCTGAATATCCACAGAAGATTTGAAGACCGCGGCTTCACGACGTGTATTATTTGCATTGGATCTATTGAGATGGTAGAGACGGTCGCGGCGTGCCCTCTCCTTCTCAGCCTCACGTTTTCGGGCCTCCACCTCCTCGTCACGGCGTTGAGGGAGCTGGCGTTGCTGCTGGAACCGCCATTTGGGGCCAAACCTAGGTCGCGGTGGGGGCTTTCCGTCGACAAGGCGGAAGGAGGCATCATCATCAGCGGAGGCAGGGAAGGAATCGTCGATGGTGAAGTCGAATGCGGCGTCAGCCGGGTTCTTGATTCGTGTAGGGTTGTTGAAGTTGCGGGTCCAGTCAGCTATTCGACCAAGTTTGTCTGAACGAGAGAATGGAGCGTAGGGTACATTCGCCGGGAGATTGCTGGCGGAGGACGCGGTGGCGTCAGGCGGACCCCATCCATCTGGATTGAAAGATACAGCTCCGATTTCAAGGCTTCCGACCATTGCAGGGAACAAAAGATTTCTGGATTTGATCTGGGCAACGCAGGTTGGAACGAAGATGAGAGGAAAAAACCCTAGTTTATGTTACCAGTGAGTCCTGAGTAGTGAGTATTGAGCACCCGATGCCGCGATGCAAACGCAAGTTAGGCGCCGTTTGGCTCAAAAACAAACTTTTTTTTTTTTTTAATAAAAGAATTTTATAAACGGTGCGTAAGGAACACAGAACTGAGAGGGAGAAAATGTGAACATTTTTTTGTTTTTGTCTTTGCCAGCTACTTCAAGCGTTTTTCCTCAAAAATATTTAGATAAGAACTAAATTATAACTTTAAAAATAATTTATAACATATACAAAAATTATAATTTTAAAAGTGATCTTATAGTACACAAAAAAAATAAGTGAGAAGCGTGAAAACACTTTTCAAAAATACTTTGAGTTGAACCAAACATGTAAGTTAAGATAAACTTATTTCACTTATTTATTTCATATATCATAAAATCATTTTTAAATTCATGATTTGATGTTGATTGATTTTATATTCATGATTTGATGTTGATTTAAACGCCCTGTGAGTTTTAGATGGAGAAGAGTTTTTATGGAAAATAATTTATTATGTATAAATGTCATAAAAAGTAAAATTGATATTGTGGTTAGTTATAATTATAAAAAATATTTATTATTTAATAATTATTAATTTTTACAGTATCTTTTTTGAATTTCTATATTTTAATAAGTATACACCTTCATCTATCAAGTGTAATTACATCCAAAAATTACTCAAGAGGATATTTTGAAACAATGAGCTGCCTTCTTTTCGATTTGGATTATTTTTAAAATTTTGAAAAAATGATAATTTTTTTGTAGGTGGATGTGGCTTTTTTAAAAAAATATTTTAGTAAATGTGTTGTTAAATTTTTAATTCCACGATGATATAATCTTTTAGGACTTTAAAGGTTTTTTTTTGCCCCAATGGCCCCATAACTCCCAAAACTGGTTATTGTTACTCTATGAAAAAAGAAGCTTGTATTGGGTCGGGGAAGCCCAACAAGGCTCAACAAAATGCGTCAACACCGGAGGAGTGCGTGATTCGCAAGTTGCACCTCCGCAGCACATATCTTCCCACCAACAAGAATTAGTGTCGTTAATAAAAAAATCAACTCATAACTCACAAAGATTATAAGTTTAAATTTCACGATGTAAATATGAAGATCTTATTAGTAGGCAATCTATAAATATTCTTGTGAGTACTCTTTGAGCTTAAAGACATGTCCTAGTTTTATTGAGTTCTCAAGATCCAACTCGTATAAATTTTTTGTAATAAAAAAAACACACACACATGTCCTCCCCACCCCTCTCGTTTTCAAGCCAAGAGTTACTTAAATTAAATTCTTAACAATATATAATCTGTTTCAATGTAAATAGACAATAGTTGAGCAGATGATTCAGATGAAGATTACTTTTTATAAATAAAAAAAAAATTACTAATTATATCGCGTATGCCACATATATTTTGCGAGTGTGCGTCTGTTTTGGAATTTCAACCCCTCTCTCATAATAGATTACCTTTGAGGTTTGAAGTGAATATAAATTTGAGTTTCAAAAATGTCTTCTCAAGAAGCAATCCTGCGAGATGACAATATCCAAACTAATGCTTATAAAACAAAGAACATGATGGGTGTGTGGCAGACTGCAAAATCCGTAATATGAGGTTCATTTTCATTTGTTGTCAACTTTAGCCCATGTGTGATATGAGGGGCGGGAGGAAAAAATTTTAACGAGTCTGGTCTAAAAAATTTACGAAATAAGGTTATAAAATTTTGATTAAAAAATATAAAATTAAAGAGTAAAAAAATTAATTAAAGGCTTTTAATCACACTTTTTCAATTTTTTAAATCGAGTTTGTTAGAATTTTCTTTCTCCTTTTCAATTCTCTCGTACCATATACGTAATGAAAGAAGATTAATCTGTATATCTATCTTCAAGGTTTTTTTTTTCCCCAGCTTACAACAATATGATAAGAATGAAAGATATGCAACCGTGTAGTCCTTAATGATGAGATACTGGTTGTGAAATAAATATGTATAAAAAAACACTAACAAACATGTCCAAAAAACACAAAAAAATATGAATTTTGACTGAAACGTGGCATAATGTACCCGCTTCTAATAATTCATTTAATCTGATTTTTCAAAAGCCTACCGGCCTTTTCGTTTTAGTTGATGACGTGTGGGGGCTACCGCCTTTTCTTTGACGCGGCTCCTTCTTGGTCTTTACCAGAACCTCGCATCACGTGTTTCATGCTCGCAATAGCCCGAGTATTCCCCCCCGCTCAACAAGGGCAGGCTTGTAACTCCGCCCATTATAATAATACTCTTCTGATCCTTAGTATAAAATTTATTTAACTAATTTGATCAGATTAAAAAAGTTAGATAAATTAGTTAATTATAAAAAATTTGATATGTTTTTCTTAAAATACTATAATCATCTTTCTTAATACCTCTTATTCCTCTTCTACTTGATATTGGTTGTAGTACTACAAAATAGGTCTTATATTTAGGACGGGAGGGAGTAGTAAAATAATAGTAATGATTTAAATAGATTAAAAAATTAGTTATATTAGTTATTTATAATAAATATGTTATTTTTTTCCTAAAATATCCTTACTAATCATGTGTATTAACCACTGTCAATGATAAGATCTTTAACATGTATAACTATTATAAGGACTATCTTGAAAAATAAATAAATAAAAATAAATTAAATTTTTATATTTAGGATAAAATTAAATATTAAAATAGTTTTTATATTAAAGATCATTGTTAGTAGTATATTATTTTGTGAAGTCTTTAATTAAAAAATAATGGGGCTTTTTAAAAGGCTGGATCACATGGCTGCTCTCATTGTGGTGAGGAATTCTCATGTGCTCTGAGAGTAACGCCACCGTTTGTGGTTTAGCTAGTAAGCATACTCGTTGATCTAGTTGATATTAAACATCTTTTTGAATTTTATTCAAGTATGAGGGATTGGGCGACAGATGATAAAAGAGAACTAATAAACAATACAACAAAATTCATCCAATCTTATCCACAAAGCACTGCAAACATGTTTCACTAAAATTTAAAAAAAAAAATCTTAAAGTTCATTGATTTTGTTTTAAATTTTAATAATTTGCAAACTTTATCCTTATTTTATATATTTCTTTTTGCTAAAAATGTTTATTTACTATATACTTTATATTTTAATAGTTTGTTCTCATAAAGAATAAATAAAATAATATATTTTCTTCATCCTTTTTTCCCCATGACAATATAATACATCTGCCCTGTCTAATATAAATTTCAATAAAACTATGCATACTACGAGATATTAAAAAACATAAAGCATAATTTTCAATCATTGAAATCTATGAACTCTATATTAGGTTTATATTTTATATTCATCCTTTTTTTTTCCCACCTTTACATATTCATCCTTAACATCAAGCCGCCAAGAATTTATCATACATCAATTAGTTGCTAAATAAAAGTATTATTATATGTATTCTTATTTATGCCAATCAATTAATGCCAAAAATTTTCATATCGTGAAACTATGAAGCCCATGTGATTTTTTTTAGATATTGTATTTTTGTAAAATTTAAAACAGACGAATTAATTTCAATTATCTCTAAAATAAGTTTGTTATGGCTTGACTTCAAATTTACTATTTAAAATAAGTTTGTTATGGTTTGACTTCAAATTTATATTCTCAGATATGCAATCAATCATGTTGGCTAATTAATCAATTGCGACCCGTCAAATTTTTTAAGGGGCAAAAGAAACCAAATTTGCATTTGAGGTTGAGATTTGGCATGTTTTAGAACTCACTTGCAGGTGACATAAGGCCAAACCTGATAATCTAACGCTTTATAGCATAAACGAGACTCCTTGGTGGTGGAAAGAGCGTCAAGAGTTTCAATCGGGCTGTCAAAACGACGTTGACAGCCCGATTTCTTGGAGGGATTCCAACGCCAAGGTACGAATAATCTTTTCGCGCGATCGAATATTCTCATGCTGTTCTGGATTCTTGCGTAGCTTCTCTTGCGCGTTTTCTTTACGTGTGAGTTATGCGGTTCCCGTTTATTCGCTCATTCAATTCTGATACAACTCCACCTACCCTTTTTTTTTTTTTTTCATTTGTTGATTTTTTCTTAAGAGGTTGTCATTACTCTTTCATACTCCGCAGGCGTGTCTCGGTTTTCACACATTCTGGGAGATCTGGGTTTTCTTGAAATTTCCCTCGAAGGTTTTGCATTGAATTTCTTCCATGAGTTCGTTTTCTGGGCCCCTTCAGCGACCTCTGGTAGCTGCTGCTGCTGTTGCTGCGGCTTCCTTCTCTGCTGACCTCTCGGATAAATTGCCTTTGCCATCTCGTGGAGCATCGGATGTTTGTTCAACCACAGATTTGACGAATTCTTCGGCTTATAATTCCATTGAAGGGTCAAGTTCATCATGGGTTTCTCATATTTCCTCTTCTAAGCTTGCTAACCTTTCTTTTTTTACCCGAATTCGAGTGCCTGTTCCTGATGTATATTTCCGTGTCCCATCTTTGGGCCCCAATTACGTTTCAAATTTGCACTATTCTTTTGTTGCTTCGTCTCGACAGCTTCACTGTTTATATCACTCTGCTGGTTTGCCTCAAGTCTCCAGGCCATCGGCATATTCCAAAAGTATATCTTCTCCGCCTTCTGAGGTTATGTACCAATGGCATTTGCCTGAGGTAAATGCCGTGGGTCTTTTAGGTGATTCCAAATGTTCATTGGAGAAATCAAGGACGGTGGTGGTTTTATTGGGCTGGTTGGGGTCAAAGCAGAAACATCTTAAGAAGTATGCAGAGTGGTACACTTCAAGAGGGTTTCATGCCATTACATTTACCTTTCCAATGGATGAGGTTCTAAGTTACCAGCCTGGAGGGAAAGCGGAACAAAATGTTCAGTTGCTAGTGGACCATTTGGCAGGCTGGCTCGAAGGGGAAGATGAAAAGAATCTAGTATTTCACACTTTCAGCAACACTGGATGGTTAACGTGAGTGAATTCATTTCCCTTTGCTATTCACAAGCAAATGCACATATTTAGGCACTTTTCTATTTTTGAGGAAGCCATTT